AACCGTAAGGCTTGTGTGGAGCTTGGAGGTAGCTAACCATCGAGTGCACCGACCGTCGCGTCGACCGAGGGCTTGGGCTCACGTACTGCTCCCCATGATCGGGATGGTCCCCGGCGCGGCGGCGCGCGGTAGAGGTCAGTGTACGGTTGGTGTGGGACGTCCATCAGCGTGTTGGTCGTTGCTAGGAACGCTGATATTAATTCCATCTTTAACTATGCCCCCCCCCCCCCCCGCATTCTCAAGAGCTTGGGGAAATTATACATGAAATATGATAAGGGAGTCCAACGCCGTTGCCAACGGTAATATTATAGGTCTAGACCGAAAACTTCAGTCTCTCTAATCGTCAGGACTCAGGGGGCCGTTTCTCTAAACCGTCATAACTACAAGATCAACGACATCTCGCCACTGTCACGCAACTTGTCAGCTAAGTCAGTAAGTGTTTCACGAAGCCGTCTTTGCCAAGATGAGCGACAACTTCTGCGACAAGCGAGTTGTCACTGCTCCGAACCTGTCATATCTTTTTAATTGCTGTAAAGCGCCATCACAAGTCAGTTTGTTGCCATTCCATGGGCCGCGAAATGGACGATTAGTTTCACTATCATTTTGAGAAAAATATAGACGAGTTCGGTACGTAATTCTCTGGGATGCGAAATGCAAATGTACAAAAGTGAGAATACAAATTATACAGAAACTTTAAAAAGCTGAATATAAACATTAAATCACAAATCATTAAACTATAACATATAAATAAGAGAGGTAAGAATGTTACACACCGTTTTCCATAGTCGATCTATAGTCTTTTCTTAGGATACCGTCATACCTTTGGGGCCTATGTGCATTATTATTCCCTCTCTAATTACTTCTTCCAAATTATATTTTCAATATCAAATCAATTATTTAACGAGTATTTATGAGACTCTAGAACAAAAACTGGCTGAGAAAAGACATTTTGCCTAAAATTCCTCGTCACAATAAACAAAAAAGTATGTATTGATAAACTATCACATTACGGTATCCTTCAACTAACTTTTGATTCGACTGTCGAAAAAAACACACCGGTTTTTCTTCAATTTAAGAATCTTTACAGAAATATGCAAATTGTTTGATGATGTAAATATGATAATGACACTATTTATTATTTATTTTAGGAGAATTTATATGTATAGGGTCTATATTTCTTTTTGAACAATTTTAGCCCCAAAACTTGTTTTGGGTTATTCTTGATAAATCAAATGGATCGTGACAAAGACTATATGTTCTTGAGCTGCTAGTATCGCGATATATCGATATCATGTCTGTCATGGCTTTGTGAAACGGCTTATCCGGTTCATGACATCTCCGTTACCGTAGGTCGCCGACAAAGATATGACTGTCATGGAGTTGGTTTCGAGAAACGGCCCCCGGTTGTTCCCCTGAGACTACGTCTGGCTCCACTAGACCTACGATTATAGAGACTGAAGTATGGCCTATCGGGACTGTACGGGACTGTACAGAACAAATGGTTCGGTTCGACCGGACCGCGATGAATGAGATATGCAACGAGATTTTCACTCTTTACATCCTCATAACTGCTGCAATTATAATAAAAATTATAAATAACATATAGATCTATTTGACTTACGATAGCTTGCTCATATAACTCATTTAGGTCTAGATCCTAAATTAATGATTAATCCTAGAAAGTCTCGTCGTCAACATTATCCGTCTTGGTTTTAGTTGATGAATATTCATTTTTTCTTTTCGAACGTCCAATAGCTACCGTAGCTACGTACAAGTCAGCCCGGCTTGACCAATGAACTCCTACGAAACGAGTGCTCTGATTGGCCATTTGGCTATGTTTTGGTAGGTTGACCCGGAAATATTTTGGCCGCCGGGTCATATAGCCCTACGTGATCGAGTGCATGAACGTACTGTTTCACAGTTCTGAGATACAAATTGGATAATTCATATAAGTAAGTCTGTAAATTATACATTTAATATTAAGTTATCAAATTTTGATAAATGTAATTAGGACAAATGACATACCGAGTTACCGACCTTATTAACATCTGATTTAGAAATCAGAAAATTAGATCTAAATAAAGAAAATCGGGGAGAAAATGTTTTGAACGAAAAGATGTACATTGTTGGCTCTAGCTACCCCCCATGGTTCGAGATCTCTGGGTTGCCATCTGTATTGGGGAATGTCAACAAATGTCAGTTTTATTAAAGAAATGACCCAAATCAGATTGGGGAATGTCAACAAATGTCAGTTTTATTAAAGAAATGACCCAAATCAGATGGTTATTTCTGTCTACTAAAATTGGTGTAAAAGCTAAAGTTCTTAATTAGATCTAGACTAGATCTAGATCTAGATCTAGCCTTCTTAGTTCTTCTAAGACATAAAAGGTCTACTGTAGAGAAAGAGTCTACAAATTTGTCAGACCTAGATCTAGATTTAGTAAGTTAAAACGTCTATGTCACGTCTATGCTGGTACTCGTCAAAAGCCTTTTCAGTAACTAAACGGCGCGACGCTAGTTCAGAAGTCTACCCACACTTTGACCCGTGGTGACTCTGGTGTGGAGAAGTACATAGATCTACCCAAAATGAAGTAGATCTAGACTAGGCCTAAATATTCATCAAATGTCCAAAATAAAGGTCATGGTTTAAAAGTTTGTTACCTGTTTCGTGTCAAATTTCTTATTTTTTCAGAGTATTTTTCCTAAAAACAAAGACTTTTATGCACTTTCTTGAGTCATGGGATTCACGGCAAACTGCAACACAATACAATTGCATACCGTACGTACCAACGGTTGGGTTCGGGCGCGCGCATGTGTTCAGTTAGCGACCGTTAACTAAGAGTACAGTCGCTAAACTTAACAGATGCGTGCGCCCGCACCAGACCGTTAATATTTGTTTTGGTTAAAATTCTACTTTGTTTAGATCTGGCAAAAATCTGACTTCGACAAGGGGAGCGCACAAATCGTAGGCATCAAAGCCTTTCGCCCGAGGCCCCTGGTATTGGCTTTCCTAATATGATATTGAAATAACCTAGCCTTAATTGGTACCCATGGGCCATGGCCATCCGCTCAACAGCAACGATAAACAACATGCGATGATATCAGGTGTTGAGGTCTCCCCTCATTTTGAAAAAAACATCAGAAAATTAGTTGGCCTAATCGGCAAAAGTAGGCTCTACAGTATATCTGCAAATCCAAGGAAATTGTCATCAACAAAACTTGTAAATTTCATTTGTTACTTATTAGTAATCAACATTGATTCATATAATTGTTTATCAAACCTTTGAAAGTATCATAGAGTAAAGGAGCCGGTAATCGGCCAGCTCCAGTTTTCGGCCGATTGGTTGGATGCAAGGTAAAATCACTCTAAAATACATCGCATAATAGCATAACACATATCCCACACATACCATACCGTGCCAGTGTCACTAAAGAACCACATTTGCAATGAAAAATATATCCTAAAATATCACATTTTAGCGATGTAATCGGCGGTCCCACTACCCGAATCTGAAAAATTGAGTATCTTATGCGTGTCTGTAAGAAATATGGGTACCATAAAATGAGCTTTATTTCAAGTATTTTTCAGATTTAGAGCCCGATTTTGTGCTAGTCGCAAGCTCAAAAGTATCTCATCGCATGTATTAAATCAATGCAGCCGCACACCGCAACGCACACACGATATCTCTGTCTAATTCAGATTCCAATATCCGATCACCACAGTACTAGTTTTCGGCCTGGCGAGCTCTGGGGAGCTCCGGCGTGGGATATCTGCTCCGCCAGCTAGTGCTATAGATCAGCGCGGAAACGCACGGCGCGTGCGCGCGCTTCCTATTGACTTTGTACATGCGGTCGAAAACTGGTACGCTATGCTGAAAACTGACTCCGAAGCAGTGAAAATTGAAATGAATATTGTCATGGCAATTCGTGATTTTTTTCTGGGATTCTTGTTTTGTTTAAATAATAATAATATTTGCTTCATGATTTGAACAAAAAATGATAATACATGTAAATAGGAAGTAAAGGGTCCTAAAAATAGGATTTTGTCTTAAGTGGCCGAAAACGGGCTCCTTTACAGCAGGTTTTACAAAATGTTGCATGAATGTACTGCAGAACAGTGTTGCCCAACTTTATACACAGCCAGGATAGTACGGTAATGCTGTTAATGCTACTGTATGTGTGGCCGTAATCACCCATTTTCTGCACCTGTCAAACCTTGCAAACTACCTTCGGGTAGACTGAAGACTGAAGAAGGATACCGTATTTGCCGGCGATAAGGCCACAGCGCCGTATAGGCCACACCCTCGATTTTGACATTTAAAACAAACAAAAAACTTTTTGTCAAAGTCGGGTTTTGATCTCTTGCGTAGAAATGTTGATTTGACTAAAGTCACCGTCTTAGACCGCTCGGCCATCCCGCACTGATGCTAGCTGATGTAGTTTTTTGTGATGTATACATTGCGCCTCTCACTTGTGTATTGAAATGGATTCAAAATAGCGACTTCGCGTGCTGGATGCTTCGCGGCAGCTCCGTTAAACGGGCCCTTCTTTTACTTTTGCAATGCATTGGCACGAACTTAGATCAAGATCTATTGGCAGATGTTGTTTTTGGAAGTTTATTTTCATCTTTAAGTCAACAATGCAAGATAAAATTGTCGGTAAGATGTGTGGAAATGTATAGTTATTGTACCGTTCGTAAAATAGTCCCATATGTGCAAATTTGTGCTGGTTTTGAGTTTTGACTTCCTTTTTTTTTTTTTTTTTTTACTCTCTCGTCGCATAGGCCACACCCCGACTTTTTGATTTTTTCTCTTCCAAAAATACTGCAGCCTTTACGCCGGCAAATACAGTATATGTGAAGAAAACAGTGTTGGCATATTTCCTGCTTCGGAGGCTTATTTCCCGGACGCCGGGAAATAAGCGGTATTTACCGCTTTTTACCGGGAAATACCGGGAAATATATTTTTCCACTCACTTGTTCATAGGGATTGTCCAATTTAAAACATAATAACAATGGTGGTGAGTATGGTTGCTCTTGTGTGTACTATTTATGTGTGTGTGTGTGTGTGTGTTTGTCTATGTCTGTAATTATGTAATGCTGGAAAAAAATACAGGAAAAAGATACCAAATATACACCTAATCTAGATATGTTCTTTATTAAAGGGAACCAAAACCTTCATACTAAGTTACTTTTATTGTAAAGTTTAAGATATTTGAATAAAATCAGTGAAAAATTGAACAAAATCGGGCAAGGAGTAAGGAAGTTAAAGCTTTTTAAAATGACTAGTCACTAGAGGGCGATATTCAATTTGATGACATCATTTGTGGACAACTCTCCATGCCTTTTGTACATCAAATTTCACAAGTCTTTCATTGTTTTTCTATTTATTTGTGTTCTTGATCGGATTTCATAACTTGTGAAGTAGAATATCATTTTGCATTCTATTATCTCAATCACAAGAAAGAAGGAAAAACATGAAATTTCGGCTGCCAGAACGTCATATGAATAAACCCTTATTGAATTGAATTGAACAGAATGCACATGGATGTTTGTATCATTATTGCTACCACTCGATCTTTATGATTTTAACTTTTTCAAATAGTGTGAGTGAAATTAAACCCCATTATCTCTTTTGGTAATTGGGAACAAAATCTGATGGATCGTGATAAAGACTATATATTTTGTCAGCCCATAGTATCGAAATCATCAATTTGTGCTTTTATGGTTCTGTGAAACAGGTTTTCCGTTTCCTGTCATCTCTGTAGGTCTCATGGACTCTGAGACATGGAGTTAGTTTCATCAAGAAGTTACCAGCAACTTCTTGGTTTCATGAAACGACCTCTAGGGCGCTAATTAGACCAAGAAGTTGCTGGTAACTTGTTGATTAGACTGGAGACTTCAGTTTGCCTTAATGACAATAGCGATTATTGTGATTTTAAAAAAAGCACGTGCACGGAACTAGTGTCACAGAATGTTGCTTCAGTAACACTTGCCCCTTAGATCCATTGCCAGTCCCTTCTTTGAGTCAAGATCTTTATCATAGTCTTTTTTTCCTTTGTTGTTGTTGTTCAACAGATGCATTTAGTCATGTGGAACAAGTCAATATGTATGGCAAGTCTTTCAACTCCGACCTACCAACAACCAAATGTGTGACTCGTGACTCGATAAGAAGGTCTAAGGTCACAGCTGTCTCAATAAACAGAGTGCCTGCATCAAGAAGGAAAAGTGGTGAAACTGCTTCAGCTACAAACAGGAAGCAGGGGGTCAAAGGGCATTTGAAAGCAGACGATCTAGCAGCCACAGGGAAGAGTCTTCGTGTTCCTGTTTACCAGCCTATTCAAGCAGCTGCAAGGTATATAGAAACACTATCTCAAAGTAATTCAATTCAAAAATAAACTTACATGTACCTTAACAGAAAGGCGGTCCAAAGCATCATGCTGCATATGTTCTAGTGATAATTGCTCAGTAATGTTTCTTACGCTAATAAATTCTTGAATTTTAATTAGGCGTGAATCAAAATGGTACCTGAACGTCACGCTGATACCCAGGTTTGATTAACAGGTATTTCAAAATAAATTTCACACAGATCTGCACCTGTACTCAGGCCCGACTTAAATCTAAGACCCAGCACTATACCTACATGTACATGCACATGCAGGGGCGGATCCAGGGGGCCCGGAGACCCCTCCCCTGGCTAAAAATAATAGGCTTAAAAGAAGAAAAAAATTGTAGTTGTTGCTCAAAAAGGGGGGGGGGGGGGCTGTTGAGTAAAAAAAAATGGAGCTCCAACCAATCAGGTTGAAATATGAACCAGTAAATCCTGAAACTTATACGATGTACATGTAAGGGTTTCTAGCTTATGGAATAAAATATTGTAAAAACAAGAAACTTTCGCAAATTGGAGCTGATCGACAGCCTCTTTTGCATATTGCTGACCATGAACAAAATATTTACAATAAATAGATTTATTCAATCAAATCTTGTGACACCTCCAAAACACAATTTCATTCATTTTGGACATGATTGAACTCTATCTCTACATATACCATACATGCACTGATACAAGTATTTATTTGTACTGGAATTCAATACTTTATATACCCTAAATCTTTCACAGCGGTTCAATAATAGCAAATTTGGACTCCTCACAAAATCTAAATAAGTTTCATGGACGCAACAAGTTTCTGGTTTGACAGTAGCAGGTCTTGTTGACTGCTACAGGTCTAAGTCAATATTTCACAGCCATGATAACTTATTCTTTTTTGATTAATTGGTGGACAGTTTGGGCAAATCTGATGTCTTTCGTAAACTGATGTCAACTGAGCCTCGTCGCAGCCAGACAAAACCAAATGAGCTTGAACTGCGCCCTCTTCATTTCAAATGTAGCTGTGGAAATCTCAAGCATAGCACACATGGTGGTGTTAAACGGTCGTCGTCGGCCTCCCTGTCTTCCAGTGATGGGAGCGAGAGTGAAGATGAGGAGAGTGACGATCAGGATGGGAGAGGATATGACATTACCAATTTGATCAAGCTCCTGATAATTCATGAGACCAAGGGTGAGCAGCAGAGGTCTGGAACCATTCTCAGAAACCTCGCAACAAGTGTGACCATCGATAAAGATGTGACAGAAGTCCAACTGCATCAGGTGAATATTTATGTTTTACCTTATTTTCTGAGAAAATCTAATTCTGCAGGGATTTCTCTCCTTTTCAGTCTATACTGTATGTAGCCCCCCCCCCCTCCATGATGCAAATTTATGTGGTTTTAGATAATTCCTTGTCTTTCCTGTATTTGTCAAGGCACTTGATGAAGTACCCTTTGCTGATCTTGCAATCAGAGGTTTGTCATCGGTATACCCGAGATTAGTTAGCTTTTGTCCTGCAATTGGTAGCTGACCATCAGAATCATCTAGAGCTCTTCTCATAATGCATTCACTATACCTATAGAACAGGTATGGTGACAGGATACAACCTTGGCTAACACCTTGGCCAATGGAGAACCATTCACTGTCTCCACTTTCTGTTCTGACGTTGGATTCTTGCTCAGGATAATTTATTTTGCTTAAAGTTGTAATTTCATATAACCAAAACATTCATTTGAAATACCTATTTGTGCTCTTATTTTTATGCCTCCGTTACGAAGTAGCCGGAGGCATTATGTTTTTGGGTTGTCTGTCCGTACGTCCGTAAGTCCTGTTCTCGTGATCGCGTTATCTGAAGAACCGATTAATGGATTCCTGCCAAACTTTGGTCATGTATGTATCTTGCAAAGCCGATGAATTGATTAGATTTTGGGGTCACAAGATTAAAGGTCAAAGGTCACAGGGCTCATTATGTATGCAAAAATAGCTCTCGATCGCATTATCATTAGAACAGATTGATGGATTCCTGCCAAACTTAGATCATGTATGTATCTTGCATCTTGTTAGTTTTATTTTTTATTTTTTTTCAGGGGGGAGGGGGATCCCTTGTTATCTATCAAACTTCTACTTGCGGCTTGACCAAATGACTACAACATAATTTTTTATTTTTTATATTTTTTAATCATTATGAAAACTCTTGATTTCCTTTGAAATGCTGAAACTATTCCATTTGCTAGCAACCTGAATGACCTATAATCCATCTCCAGATTTTTTTTTTTTTACCCATTTACCATCCATTTTCAACGACTCCAATTTCTAGCTGTTTGGTCTTGTTACCAGCCATGCTGCATGCATCATGGATGCATCCTTGCTGATCCTCAAGCAAGGAGGATGGGTGTCTAAACACACCAGTCTGTTACTGGAGTCAGGTGCCTACTGGTGCGTTTAGTAGGATTTGTGACCATCCCTCTAATTTCATGTATTCACCACATTTTTCTTTCCACCCCCTTTTTCTGGTGACCATCCATATGGCCTGTGTTTGAGAAGCATCCTGGCTGATCCTCAAGCCAGTGGGACTGGGGGGTGTTTCACAAAGACTAAGATTGACTTTAAGTTTGACTGAACTATGACAGGCCGTTCATGCCACTAGTTCCTCTAACCATTCCTGGCATTTGTTTCTTAAGGGACGTATAAATTGTGGTCTCGAATCCACAGAATTTACATTTGTTGATGGTTCATTATTTGAGGGGAAAATATTATCTAAAAAATCATAATTGAGGGACCAATAGTGAGAGCAACCAGTGGCATGAACAGCCTGCCGTAGTTAAGTCAAACATAAAGTCAATCTTAGTCTCACACCCCCCTGGCCACTTACCTTCGTGTATCAGATACCTTCTATAATAGGCATGTGGTAAAGATTATGACCAGATTTCTTATTTCATGTTTTTTAATAATTCTTCTCTTTAGCTGCTTCGTCTGGTGACCAGCCGTGTTGTATGCGTCAGAGAAGCAGCTTTGTTGACCCTTAAACAAGCAGGACAGGTGTCTCAACTGGCGAGTCTGCTGCTAGAGTCTGGTGCCTTAGGCAGGGTGCTGATGCTGTTCCATGGGGAAGGAGACGGCTCCGTCATTGCAGCTGGATGCCAGTTCCTGGAAGAGGTATCATTAGCTTTACTCTACATGATTGTCTGTATGGGTAAAATGCCTGTTTATACATTAAATTTCAATATCCAACGCGGCATGGTGCCTAATGCCTTCCAGTCACTGAAAAGCCAAATCAGCTACCAGTTGGTGAAGCTACGGTACTTGTAGAAATTGATCTTCATGAGGCATGATGGACCAGCCATTACAGCAATGGTCTGACTCTGACAAATGTGAGATTCATGTTTCAAAACCTTTGGAGTTTCAGATTCCAGAAACTTATATTTTAAAGCCCCACTGCACTACTGATAGCTACTTGCGCCCTCTATATAGCAAACCATGCCTAATAGTAATCGGTGACCATTGGTCCCCCATGATCCTCTTTTTCTTATGTTAATTGAGTTCTAATTTGATGAGATATTGAACATACAGGGAAGTCTAATCCCTCCTGGCAAAACTAGTGCAGTGGGGCTTTAAGTGGAAATGTTAAGATCAGTTTTCATTGTTACTCGAGACATATATGATTCATTTTCAACCAGTTAACTGCTTCGAGGGAGGACGATGATTGATTCCTTTGTTCTTACATTCAGATCACAAGCCATAATGATTTGAAGGACCTTTGGCTGGAGGAGATGATTGTCACAGGTCTGACTGTCCTGATTGGTCTGCTGTCAAGTGAGGGGCACAGCCCAGCAACAATATCTGTCCAATCACAGCAGGCAGCTGCCTGTCTACTGAGCAGGCTAGCCAATCACCTTCAGCTAGGTATCATGATGTTGGATCATGGCATGGATGACATTGAGGCGGCCTTCAGGAAGCAGGCAAGCCTCAGGGTAAGATTTCAACGTTTTTCATTTATCTTTTTCTGATTGCAAAGTCTGTGAGAGTTTTGCTCTGATGCGGATAAGCCAAGGAGTACAGTATAATAGTAGTGTTGAACAAAGAAAATTCAACTTTCAAACTTCAAAGTGTGTATGAGCTGGAACCATGTTCTGTAAACAATGTTATGTTTTATGTTAATTGTCATAACAAAGTGAAATAGTGCAGAACTAACACCTACTATTGGTGTTTGCGCAGATGTATCTTTTAACTTTACTTGAATGCTGCCAGCTTTATGAGACATTAAGTAATGAATTGTCCTAATTTTGAAATGTTATGACAATGAACATCATGTTACTATTAAAGTTAAACATAAATGATAACATCATTGACAGAATACCACACCTGGGGGGTGTTTCACAAAGATCCTAATTTGAATTTATCCTTAAGTTGGACTTAACAATAATATTATGGAAAGCCGTTAGCATCCTTGACAAAATATTGTAAAAGGCATAAAATGTTGATTCAAATCGTTCATATTTTCTATTATCATGGGAGACTTCATGGACTTGATGTGAAATTTATGAAAAAAAGTCTAGAATAATTGAAATTTTGCTTTTGAATATATTTCATTATAAGGCTACAAATGGCTCTCCATAATATTTAAGTCCAACTTAGAGTTAAGTTCGACTTAGAATCTTTGTGAAACACCCCCCAGGTTTGTTTCTTTCTGAATATAGTGGATGAGTCACAATTGGTGGCTTGAGTGTTATCAGACTTCGGTACATGTGTCTAGCTCTCTAAGAAGTAATGCAACTTTCGAAACGCTAAAATTATTGATTTCAATAATACAATTTTCAGTCTAACTTTTGGCAAACACATATTGGTAACACGTGACTGAAATCTATTGCAACAAAGCACTTTATGAAGACATATGCATTGATTTGAATATATCCTGCCATAATGAATACAGCCTAGTGCCACAGGGCTAATCCCCATTGTGCCAACCCACAAATCCCCCTTGTGCCAAGTTTATTTTGAGATAATCTGTTGGTGCGATCAATAGGGCGTGCGAAGCACTCAGCACAGTACAATGAACAATTACTGCTATTAAAAATGCGAGCATGCATGCATATTGCATAAAGCAGCTAAGCCGTGGCTCGCTCGAATGAATTAACTCTTTGCCCGCTTCGTTCGGCTAGCGGAACATACAGCGGGCTGCCAACTTCGACTCAAGTCACATTTCATTCACAATACACACGGAACGCATTTAATTCTATTGTACGCACACACACACAATAGTAACGCGTGCTTCGCATTGTATACACATCACACTTCATTGCACCGCTTTCGCAGACATTGTTTACATTGACATTTTCCGAGAAAAATTGAGTTTTTGAAACTGCTTTTGCAAATATTCTGATGAGCTAGGATGGCCCCTATTAGGAGGAGACGGGACTTCTTCACTGCTGATCAGGTACGAGAACTTGTGATGGACCCTGTTCCAACAGCCGACTCTGATTCAGAGGAGAGCGAGACTGACTCTGACGAGGAAGATGAGCCTGGTCCCACACGTACACTTTTGCGTAATCCCACAGAACATGATAATGGCGTGGACATCAATCACGATTCAGACAGCGAGTTTGAAGAGGAAATTAGGGATGATGTGTCGATGGTTTCAGCAGAGGATGAGCTCTCCCTATCTGCCTGTCTCTTTCTTCCTCCCCTCTCTCTGCCTCTCTCTATCTTGTTCTCACTCTCATTATCTCAACCTGCCTCTGTCTTTCTCTGTCTGCCTATCTGTCTTTCTCTCTCCGTGTCTCTTCTTATTTATATCCCTATCTGCCTGTCTCTTTCTTCTTCCCCTCCCCCTCTATCTCTATCTTCTCACTCTCATTTTCTGTATCTGCTTATATCTCTTTCTTTCTCTCTCTCTCTCTATCTCTCCCTGTCTCTTCTTATTTCTTTCCCAATCTGCCTGTCTCTTCGTTCTTATTCTCTTTCTTTCTCTCTCCCTCTCTCTGTCTACCTCTTGTTATAATGAACATGTCAATATGAGACTACATATGTAGACGAATATATTTTATTCTTATTTATTATACATCAGCTTTCTACAATTCATAACTTAGTACATGTTTCAAGCATACATTATGTTCATGGCTTGCCTTATTAGTGTAGAAAATCAATAAGTTCTTCTATTAATTTCTTTCAATTCTAATAGCTTGCACAGCCTTGCAAGTAATAATAGAATGTTACACCATCTTACCTACAGACACAATAAAGGTCATCAAAGTACAATCAAGAGACAGGAAGTCTATTCAAAAGTACCCAGGGTCAATTTCAATAGGAGATTAGTTCATTGTCGGCTTACTCTTTATTCAATCCTAAATTACCAGGCTCACTGTGACCTTCAACACATGAATTTGGTATGTAGTGAAAGCTCATGAATACATCTTTTCAATGAACTAACTCAGGACATAAACCTCCATAACAAAGTATTAGATATAAGAGGTATAGAATACCCTTCTAAACGAAAACTTGGATACAAAATGTATAGTTGATTATCTCAAAATTTATGATAATATACATTACAAAAATGATACCATTGGCAAGACTATTAATTTCTATACAATATTGCTACACAAAGTTTTTCATTACAGTACACCAATCAAAAGTTATTGCGAGTTGAATAAGCATAGTCCATGCAGAACCCCTCCTAAGGTGGCACCCTAAAAACAATGTGGCACAGGGGGGATTGTGTACGTGGCGGGCAAAGAGTTAAGCAGCCAATCAATAACACGGTCGCATGTACAAAGCACTATAACGGTAGCGTGCATGCAGCCTTATGGCAGGATATGAGTTAATGGCCTTTTTTTGACTGTGTGCTCCTCCCACCATGCAGGAACCCATCACAGAGTTGTTGACTAACCTCATCCGTCATAATGACCACACTGCAGGAGGAGTGCTCAACTACAAGTTCACATCCCTAGTTGCAGTGGCACTGAGAGATGGACCATGGTAAGAACCTATTCACATTCCTAGTTGCAGTGGCACTGAGAGATGGACCATGGTAAGTACCTATTCACATCCCTAGTTGCAGTGGCACTGAGAGATGGACCAGGGTAAGAACCTTTAACCCTCATCAAACTCTGCATCTACTTTAGTAATGCAGGTTGTAGGAGTAATTAGGGAAAATGTAGTAATAGTAGTAGTACATCACGGGTGGCCAACCCGCGGCCCGCGGAGCATTGAAGAAGTGATAATAATTTCGGGTGTTTGCCATGCAAACACCCCCAAAAGACCCGAAAATTCTGGAAATGGGTCTTTTCTTCGAGAAAAATGACCCCTAATAATGGGTAGGGGTTACGAGGCTTGAGCGGCACACACCCGTCCAAGCCAACTCTGAGTATCCCCCTGGGCATGAACATCACTCGCCGAGTTAATTTCAGTTTGTACATATACAAATTAATGTTGTGAATCGAGAAATATGTTTGAAATGCCATACTTGTCTTGAAACTTGCAGCCCTTTTCTCCCGCCGTTTCTTTTCTTCACTGATTTTGTTGTTTCCTTGTTTGTTTTTTGCAAAATTGAAGGTGTGTACACGTATTACATGAGTGTTTTTTTTTTTTTGGGGGGGGGAGAAGACTACCTATGACCCGCCAAGTTATCCCAATCGTTAGCTGTGGCCCGCGAGCTCTAAAAGGTTGGCCACCCGTGTAGTACATGAAGTAATGGTAGTAGTCCTGTGGTCATGTCACGTTGACTGAGTTCAGACCTGAACAATGAACTTCTGTCATTAGCTCAATGCATACCCGGGGGTGTTTCACAAAGATCCTAAGTTGAACTTATCTCTAAGTTGTAGGGACACTGATTTTCCATTTCAAAAAATTGCCTTTTCCATTTCAGAAAATTTGGAATTCTGTGAAATTCTGTTTTGCCACTGATAACCACTCAGAAACATACAGACGGGACTGGATAAACTTAATGCAAAATACTAATGAAAATATACGAAAAATTATCAATGTTTAGATTAACCAACTTCAAATTCAAACTTAGACAAGCAGACTAAAGTTAGCGGAATGTGTCAGAACAAGACATATTCCTGACGGAACGATACAGAAACAGAGTAGTACCGACGTCGACGAAAACATTTCAGTCTTGGCTGTCATGTCAGTGATCGATTGATTTTAGGCGTACATACCAGCCCCTTTTTTGAAGCGTGTGTAAAATCTCGTTGCACTTAACGCCCGCTGCTGGCATGTGTGTGCCTAGCTGGCATAATCGGATCGATTCGCTGCTATTTGTACCGTGTTTTGTGTCACGATCTCTATTGGTCCAGCAAAACAAAATGGCAGCGCCCGATCTCCTAAGAATCTGACGTATATCACTAAATATTCAGAGTTATTAACCATGATTTTAGGCCCGATATTTTTTCACTGCATAACAAATCACAAAAATAGTGTAAGTTTTACGATTTTCTTCTTGAAAAATTAAAAGTCTTGAGGTGAAAAGGGTTTTCCGCGACTTTCCGTTCGGAATGGCATTTCCGTGAATTCCGTCCGTTATCCGTGATCGCGGAAAATCAGTGTCCTTAAAGTTGAACTTAAAATTATGGAAAGCCGTTAGCATCTATGGAAAATATTTTGTAAAAGTTATTTTAAAAAGCATAAAATGTTGATTCAAATCATTCATATTAACTACTATCAAGGAGATTTCATGTTCTTGATGTGGAATTTATTAATAAAAAGTCTCAAATTCTTGAATTTTTCACTTTTGAATATATTTTATTTTAAGGCAACAAATGGCTCTCCATAATATTTGAGTCCAGCTTGGAGTTAAGTTTGACTTGGATCTTTGTGAAACACCCCCTAGCTCAATGCATACCTGGGGGTGTTAAACAAAGACTAAGGTTGACTTTAAGTTGGACTTAACTATGGCAGGCCGCTCGTGCCACTGTTTACTGGCAATGGTCTCTCAAGGGACGTACAAATCATGGTCACACATCTATATAATTGAGCTTTTTGATAGTTCATTATTGAAGGAAATTTTTTTTATCTAAAGATCATAATTGAGAGACCAATGGTGAGAGCAACCAGTGGCATAAAATGGCCTGTCATATGTAAGTCCAACTTAAAGTCAATCTTAGTCTATGTGAAACACTCCCCTGTTATACTGTCTAGTTATTGCTGTTGTATCATCATATTTTTTCATATATGACCAGGGGGTGTTTCACAATGATCCTAAGTTGAACTTATCTCTAAGTTGGATTTAACAATTATGGAAAGCTGTTAGCATCTATGAAAATATTTTGTAAAAGTTATTTTAAAAGGCATAAAATGTTTATTCAAATCATTCGTATCATGGGAGATTTAATGTTCTTGATGTGGAATTTATAAAAAGTCTAAAATACTGGAATTTTCGCTTTTGAATATATTTTATTTTAAGGCTACATATGGCTCTCCATAATATTAAAGTCCAACTTATAGTTAGGTTCGACTTGGGATCTTTGTGAAACACCCCCTGGTAACACAAAACCACCAACAAGTCACATGGTATGTGATTTTGTTTGTTCAGTTAGAGCTCAATAAAAGTGCATCTGGTCAGGATGGTCAAATTCGACTTATTATAATTTCCTGAGAAGAATACTTTCCTGTATCTAGTTTCCAACTTTGGAAGGACACAATACTCTGAAAGTGGTATTTTGGAAATTTTTTGGATATTTTTTTCAGCTATGCTTTGGTGAAGAAAATATGGTCTAAATAATAACCCTGTGTTCCCATACAATTAAGTACAGTCAAAACTGTCTACAGAGACCACCAAAGGGAAACATAAAATGTGCTTGTTGTAGAGAGGTGGTCTTTGTAGACAGGTTCCTTAAGTACATGTTTTAATGAGAAACCGTTTTCAAGGAAAGCAAAACTAAAGCAGGTTTGACTGTACTTCTTTTCTTTGTAGCTGTGTTCAGTCCAAAGCTATGGACTTCTGTCAAGAGCTGTGCGTGTACGAGGCTGGGACGCGAGCTCTGATCAAAGATACCATGCTTCTAACGACCTGTCTTCAAGTCTTAAAATCAACCAACTGCAGGTAAGCTCTACGGTCTATCCTTATTCTATTTATGCTACTCTGTTACTTGCAACTCTCCACCCAGGTGTTGAATGGGTATCGGTAGAAAGGAATTCCTTGAATGCTGTGAGCACAGAAATCATAGCCTAACAGAGCTGGGGTGATCTTGGAGCACCTTGGGCACCTTGGATATGTGCACTATATAAATGTCCATTATTACTATTATTAATATTATTAATATTATTTACCTACAAAAAAGTGTCATAATATAGTGGTTCATTCACCTGACTCTCAGTTCAGGGCTTGAGCGTTTAAATCCCCGCCTGGCAGTAATGCACTTTGGTCAGACATTAATCCACATGTGCAAGTCTCCATCCAGGTGTATACATGTACATGTACCTGGGAATCCCTGGGATATTGATTATAACAGGGTCATTGGGGAGAGCAGGCTTCCCCAGGTTTAAAACAAATATTTTAGATATATACGTCATGTAGATAGTGAAGTGAGATGAAGTGGCATGAAAAGATGCCTCCTGAACGCAAACTGTATAGTTGTTGAAATCATAATGTTATCATACAGATGAAGAACCACATCATTAGGGTATGTTGCTGGTAAATGCATATATACCGGTAGTACGTTCTCGATGGGGCTTAACACAGTGAAATCTGTCTATAAAGACCAACCAAGGGAGACAAGAAAAGTGGTCTTCATAGACAGGTGCCGATAGTACATGTTTCAATGAGAAACCATTTTGAAGGGAAACAAAATATGTGGTCTTGTAGACAGGTGGTCACTACAGTAGGTTTGACGGTACTAGCTTTCATTCAATCTGTCTCGTTCTCCCCTTGCTATCCTTCTCTGCTCCCTTTCTCCCCTTTTTATCTTGCTCTTGGCCTCTCCACTCCCCTTCTCTCCCTCTCTCTCCTTCTGCTCCCTTTCCCTTTTCCTCTCCACTCTCTTTTCCCTCACCCTCTTTATTTCTCTCCACTCCCCTATTCCCACCTCTCTCTCTCTCTCTCTCTCTCCCTCCCTCCCTCTCTCTCTCTTTCTATCCCTCTCCTTCTGCTCCCTTTCCCTTTTCCTCTCCACTCTCTTCTCCCTCACCCTCTTTATTTCTCTCCACTCCCCTATTCCCACCTCTCTCTCTCTCTCTCCCTCTCTCTCTCTCTCTCTCTCTCTCTCTCCCTCCCTCCCTCTCTCTCTCTTTCTATCCCTCTCCTTCTGCTCCCTTTCCCTTTTCCTCTCCACTCTCTTCTCCCTCACCCTCTTTATTTCTCTCCACTCCCCTATTCCCACCTCTCTCTCTCTCTCTCCCTCCCTCCCTCTCTCTTTCTATCCCTCTCCTTCTGCTCCCTTTCCCTTTTCCTCTCCACTCTCTTCTCCCTCACCCTCTTTATTTCTCTCCACTCCCCTATTCCCACCTCTCTCTCTCTCTCTCTCCCTCCCTCTCTCTCTCTCTCTCTCCCTCCCTCCCTCTCTCTCTCTTTCTATCCCTCTCCTTCTGCTCCCTTTCCCTTTTCCTCTCCACTCTCTTCTCCCTCACCCTCTTTATTTCTCTCCACTCCCCTATTCCCACCTCTCTCTCTCTCTCTCTCCCTCCCTCTCTCTCTCTCTCTCTCTCTCTCCCTCTCTCTCCTTCTGCTCCCTTTCCCTTTTCCTCTCCACTCTCTTCTCCCTCACCCTCTTTATTTCTCTCCACTCCCCTATTCCCACCTCTCTCTCTCTCTCTCTCTCTCTCCCTCCCTCCCTCCCTCTCTCTTTCTATCCCTCTCCTTCTGCTCCCTTTCCCTTTTCCTCTCCACTCTCTTCTCCCTCACCCTCTTTATTTCTCTCCACTCCCCTATTCCCACCTCTCTCTCTCTCTCTCTCTCTCTCCCTCCCTCCCTCCCTCTCTCTCTCTTTCTCTCCCTCTCCTTCTGCTCCCTTTCTCTTTTCCTCTCCACTCTCTTCTCCCTCACCCTCTTTATTTCTCTCCACTCCCCTATTCCCACCTCTCTCTCTCTCTCTCTCTCCCTCCCTCTCTCTCTCTCTCTCTCTCTCCCTCTCTCTCCTTCTGCTCCCTTTCCCTTTTCCTCTCCACTCTCTTTTCCCTCACCCTCTTTATTTCTCTCCACTCCCCTATTCCCACCTCTCTCTCTCTCTCTCTCTCTCTCTCTCTCCCTCCCTCCCTCTCTCTCTCTTTCTCTCCCTCTCCTTCTGCTCCCTTTCCCTTTTCCTCTCCACTCTCTTCTCCCTCACCCTCTTTATTTCTCTCCACTCCCCTATTCCCACCTCTCTCTCTCTCTCTCTCCCTCCCTCTCTCTCTCTCTCTCTCTCTCTCTCTCTCTCTCTCTCTCTCCTTCTGCTCCCTTTCCCTTTTCCTCTCCACTCTCTTCTCCCTCACCCTCTTTATTTCTCTCCACTCCCCTATTCCCACCTCTCTCTCTCTCTCTCTCTCCCTCCCTCCCTCCCTCTCTCTTTCTATCCCTCTCCTTCTGCTCCCTTTCCCTTTTCCTCTCCACTCTCTTCTCCCTCACCCTCTTTATTTCTCTCCACTCCCCTATTCCCACCTCTCTCTCTCTCTCTCTCTCTCCCTCCCTCCCTCTCCCTCTCTTTCTCTCCCTCTCCTTCTGCTCCCTTTCCCTTTTCCTCTCCACTCTCTTCTCCCTCACCCTCTTTATTTCTCTCCACTCCCCTATTCCCACCTCTCTCTCTCTCTCTCTCTCTCTCTCCCTCCCTCTCTCTCTCTTTCTATCCCTCTCCTTCTGCTCCCTTTCCCTTTTCCTCTCCACTCTCTTCTCCCTCACCCTCTTTATTTCTCTCCACTCCCCTATTCCCACCTCTCTCTCTCTCTCTCTCTCTCTCTCTCTCTCTCCCCTCCCTCTCTCTCTCTCTCTCTCTCTCTCTCTCCCTCTCTCTCCTTCTGCTCCCTTTCCCTTTTCCTCTCCACTCTCTTTTCCCTCACCCTCTTTATTTCTCTCCACTCCCCTATTCCCACCTCTCTCTCTCTCTCTCTCTCTCTCCCTCCCTCCCTCTCTCTCTCTTTCTCTCCCTCTCCTTCTGCTCCCTTTCCCTTTTCCTCTCCACTCTCTTCTCCCTCACCCTCTTTATTTCTCTCCACTCCCCTATTCCCACCTCTCTCTCTCTCTCTCTCTCTCTCTCTCTCCCTCCCTCTCTCTCTCTCTCTCTCTCTCTCTCCCTCTCTCTCCTTCTGCTCCTTTCCCTTTTCCTCTCCACTCTCTTTTCCCTCACCCTCTTTATTTCTCTCCACTCCCCTATTCCCACCTCTCTCTCTCTCTCTCTCTCTCTCTCCCTCCCTACCTCCCCTCTCTTTCTTTCCCTCTCCTTCTGCTCCCTTTCCCTTTTCCTCTCCACTCTCTTCTCCCTCACCCTCTTTATTTCTCTCCACTCCCCTATTCCCACCTCTCTCTCTCTCTCTCTCTCTCCCTCCCTCCCTCTCTCTCTCTTTCTCTCCCTCTCCTTCTGCTCCCTTTCCCTTTTCCTCTCCACTCTCTTCTCTCTCACCCTCTTTATTTCTCTCCACTCCCCTATTCCCACCTCTCTCTCTCTCTCTCCCTCCCTCCCTCTCTCTCTCTCTCCCTCCCCCTCTCTCTCTCTCTCTCTCTCTCTCTCTAATTATCTCTCCACTTCTCTTCTCCCCTACCCTCTTTCTCCCTTCCTCTCCCTCTTTCTCTTGATATACAGGGACGTTCGAAGACTAGGCACCTCCATTTTGGATGCGCTCCTCAGAGGGTCCAACACCAGGCAACTCCGGGCCTTCTTCCGTCAGGCAGATAGAGCTTTCAAAGAGAGGACCCAAGTCCATCTCGATCCCACACGCCGACGAGCAAAGGATGTCTGGATACCTCTCACCAAGCAGGCTTTTGAGATGGAGCATGGTGATGGGAATCAGGGAGAACGAAAGAAGACGGAGGAGGAGGAAGAGGAGAAGAAGATGAAGGCTGGAGTCAAGGAGATTATGGATCTTGTGGTGCATGTAATTCTAGTTGAAGGTGAGAGGTGTGGAGTGGATGGTGTAGGCATTAATCCAGTTGGGAAATACTATCTGCCCATGGATGAAAAATTAAATTAAAGGTCATTTGTACAAAACCCGTAGAGATGAATACCGGATACATTTCCCTAAAAGATATGTAATAATTATTCATTTATGCACCAATGTTACATTCTATGGTATGCAGCTGGATGTATACCAGTTTGGCGTTCAACAATAAGGGATAGAGCAATGTCGATCTGGCGCTGCTTAGTGGCTGCCGGGCTCACGATCAATTAGGCAAAAAGAATTTCCATTTTCAGTTTAACTTAATAAAATTTGGAGTGGACTTTAAAAGAATTATTATTATTATTATTATTATTATTCTTTTCAAGAGGGCAAACAAAAGATATTCATAAAGCACCTCCATCACTTTGGCAGTGATTATTCTGAAATGCACAAAGTGGGACTTCTTCATGTCATTTTTACATGTGCTATCTCCAAACTGTTCTATTCTGTCTCTTCTGAAGTGTTCTGGTTTAGAGCCATATGGTATGGTTAGTTATCATCTCTTTCTCTTTGTAGTCTTCATTACATCATATGTTTTGTCACCTATTAAAGGGATTTAAAAAAAATTAAATCCTTGATTTAGCTCATGCTGCAGTCATAATTATAAACCTTTAGGTCATACATGAATCCATGACTTTTACAAGCCAATCGCTTTTCTGATTATCAAGATATCTGTGATTGGAATCAGCAATTTCAGAATTTGTTGTCCTAACGGTTTTAATGACACTACAGTCTATCGGGAAAAATTAGTTTGGTAAAACCGGTCACTCAAAGATTCTTACTTTTTTGAGGCACTTCATGATCATTTTGAAGCGCATTTTTTTAGGGCTTCAGTGGTACACAATATCACAGACACTGATAACACGTAGGGCCATGCATCTCAGATATAAATTTGTTAAACGATGCCTTTAAGTGACACCATCCCTATTTTTGGTCTACCTCTTCCCTTGTGTCAACCACCATCCCTTCCAGTAGGTCTCGTGTCATGCTGTTCCTTCATGAGAATATGGCTCATCCAGTTTTTCCATTTCATAGTAGGGCCATTTTCTGGAAACCATCATAAGCCTCCATCCTTGAACATCCTACAGGTTCCCTTGTAGGTATCTGGCAGGAATTCATTCTTTGAAATGCTAGAGCGCAGTGAAAGCAGCCATGCTTAAGCCGAGGTAACAGCTGAGTGCCAGGAGTGTCAAATCTGACAGACATGAGCGCTGTACAAACACCCACTTTTATCATTATTATTTAATACAGAGAAACTTGTTTCACAATTTGTTACAATTGGATGTCTACAAGCTTAGACTTGTGACGATTTCATGAAACTGGCCCCTGATTGTTTTTTTCTGAACTTCCTTTACTTCATTTAATCTCTTGAATCACTTCAGCACATCTTCCTTAGTGATCCTTTCCCTCTTAACAATTCCTTCCATTCTTCTGCTTTGGGTTGTTATGTTTTGGTTTTGGAGGTATTGGTAGGGCTACTAAATGATTACCGGTATATTATTCCCAAATGGTAGGAGAGCATTATTTCTTCTTCCTCTGGTGCTTTTAATCTTCAAAGAGCCTTGCAGCCTGTCCTGAAACACCTGGTGAATTTCCAATATGAATGTCAACCCCCCCCCCTCCACCCCTGAACACAATCCTGCATCAAGAACAGAGGGGAGGGGTATCGGCTTAAACACAATGCAGCGACAATCATATTTGACTGCCCTGCACAGGACTCGAACCTGCACGTATGGCGAAAGATATATTATGAGTCAAACAATCCAATAGCACGGCCTCCATATTGATTTGTTGTATTACCCACTGATTGTTTCTCCTATTTTATTGGCAGGTAAAATTCAAACAGACGAGAAAGGCAAAGTGACAGAGGTGAGATTCCGTCCAACACAGGATGACGTCAACGGCCTTCAAGAAGCTGTTAACTGTCTAAAGACTATAGCAAATATGTAGGTAGATCAAGATACATATCGATTATCATTCAGTCATTCACTTATTGTTTTATTTTGTAATTCATAATTTATATTGTAAAATGACATGTTTAAGTCTTCAGCCTTCCGTCTTGTACTATATTTTAATGCTGAATAAAAGCTGAATGATAATTGGTTAATCAATCATTAACTCATTTTATATTTTATTCACTTGTGACAATAACTACAAATGAATATCAGTGGAAATCTCTCTTTTTTAGATAACTTTTTAAAACAAGAATTCAATTATTAAGCTTTTGCCCTTTTTTGGTTCCCCCCCCCCCCCCTTTTATTCTTCTTTTACTTCCTCGCAGAATTTCTACTTTCTTTGATGTGGAATTTTCTTTGATCATTTTATCTCATTCTCATGCTTATCGGCAGGTCTGAGGCAATCATGAATCCCAACTCAGCGCATCGTCTACTCCTCTCCTGTGGCTCTCTATGTCTACTTGATCTCCTCCACACCTTCTCAGCAGCTGCTTTTGGTGTCGCCAAGTGTGCCACTCCAGACACTGAAAAGCAGCAGCGAAACCCAGAGGCTCTGTATCTGCAGGCTTCTATGAAGCTCTGGCAGGGATCAGCGAAAAGGAAAGGGTCCGTCGTAGATGTCCAGGAGCTTTACGACAAATCTAAGTTGAGTTTTGTCCAGTCAGTCCTGGAAGTTTTACTAGTTTTAGCAGAAGCGTCGTGCAATAGATGGAGTGAACGAATCGTAGGACAGCTTGAAAAGCAAGTTCTTGAATCTGGCAGATGGCAAGAGGATGATCATGACGAGGATGATTCCACTCATACCACTAAACAGTACAAGTATATAGAGAGTGTAGGCCAAGCTTTCCATGACAGCGGAATCCCCAGTAGCAGAGGGGTCAAGGAGCGGAGGTCGAAGGTTAGATTTGCATGGGATGATAATGATGAACGCACCGTTGGGACTAGCGCTCGTCAACATGGCCCAAAACCTCATGAGTCCAATTCAAACAATAGCAATAATAAGAGAAGTAAGGAGAACAAATGGGCATCATCGATGAAAGGGAATGGCTATTGCCGTGAGGATGGGTCTGGAGATGACCTGGAAGTGACCCAGAGGAGGCAGAAGGGTCAGCTGATGGTCAAGAAGGCATTGGTCAGGGAAGGGGTCTGTGAGTCTGTTTCATCATGGATGATCTGTGGCCAGGAGAAGATAGAGGTAAGATATCCAACCCATCCACTCAATTCAATTCAATAACAAGCAATATCTTAGATTGTATGCAACTAACTATAGCTCAAGTTCAGCATTAAATCTTTATTTTTAATTAATTGATGTACCATGCAGTGTTTTATAGTTCTGTACTTTTACTTTACTTCTACTTTGTATAGTACTGATGTTACATGTGTATCCATATTGTAAAAGAATGTGCAGTTTGACCCACAAATTTCAAAACTTTTTCTTTTTTATTATAAATAAATAAATGGCCTGTTACTGGCCGATCAGTGCTTGAATGCACCTGTAAAGACATTCCCAACATTACAGATCTAAATGGCATTATTGATCAAAAGGGAACTAGAGGCAGTGGAAAATCTGGGCCCCGTTTTTTCTTAAATTATGTAATCAATAACGAGTAACAATAATAATAATAATAATAATAATAGCTAGTTCTTATATAGCGCTTTTCAGGACCGGAGGCCCTCTCAAAGCGCTAATAATTGTTGTAAGCTACTGTAATGTTTGCATTTGATTGGCTGTGATCAAATTCATCACAGAATTGTGACACTTGTTAATGATAAAAAGATTTTTGAAAAAGGGCCAGATTCTCTCATATGTAAAAAGCAACAATTTAAAAGAGTTCTGGCAGCTGTAGATATTAGTATGATAAATACTTCTCAATGCCAGTTTACGTTGTAATAATGATGATAATAATAATTCCGCTTTTACAACAATGTATATAGCGCTTAATACATCTACAATGTCTCTAAGCGCTTTACAGATAAACTATTACTTGGTCATTGGATTCAATACTTGCCCGCATACACTGTATGCATAATCTCCACTCCCTGGGGAGCATTCCAGCCAGGTGTTACTTGACGCTCAAAAAATGTTTGATCAACAATGACGGTCGCATCCTACCGGGTACCCATGTAGGTAGGAAGAACAGAAGAACAAGTGTGCAATGAATTGAGCATACAATATCTTGTGTTCAACAGTCTTTATCTGCAAAAATCATCATGTTAGCTTTTGAAATACTTTCAATCCTATCTGAAAAAACTGAAGTTCATTGCCGAATACATACATAACTTCATAAAGTTGTTTTTGCTGAAGAACTGAAGAATTCTTATGTCTTGGAGCACCTTTGGTTCTATGACACATGCTCTGGCAACAGTCACACTACAGTCTGTTTTAATACCAACCTCGGGCTCAACACTATACACCTAGCTAAATCAGGACCCGACACTAACAGGTGCCAGGGACACATGGGCACCCAAAATCTAAGTCTAAACATCAAATTTTCAGAAGTTTTTAGATAGGGCTCATGCATGCAGACTGTCAAAAGTACTTTAAAGCCACACTGTACTACTTGTAGCTACTTGCTCCCTCTATATAGCAAACATTGCCTTATCGGTGCCTGTTGGTCCCCCATGATCTTCTTTTTCTTATGTAAATTGAGAGCTGAGTTGATGAGATAGCCACCTGTCAGTGACCACGCTGTGTGGTCTAATCCCCCCCCCCCCCCCCCGGCCAAACTAGTACAGGCGGCCTTTAAAGAGTTGGATCTGGACCGCTTTCCAACAACTTAGTGTACATGTACCTAAAACCAAGCTTCAACTCTATTAAGAACCTTGTATAACATAGTAAATCAAATCGAATGCTGTTTTTTTTTTTTTATGATGACATAAGGGTATTACGGATTAATCTCTCAACACACTTTTGTAAGTAATATGATATGAGTAAGACTTTTGTTGCGCCCAGTTGCTATTCAATCACATGTTGTTTTTGTTGTTTTTAAGTCTTTGCCGCGTAAACCGTAGCATATATGTGAACAAACCATTTAACTTGTTTTTTGTTATGAAATAAAGCCTGGAGCAGATATCCTAGAGATTCTGTTGAAGCACATACAGTATATCAGAAAACATCAGAAAAACACCTGTGACAGGCTATGTGAAAAGTTTGTCTCCATTTGGTCTAACTTGATTGTATTCAAACCTTTCCGTTGTATGGTATAGGAGCTTGCATGTGATGTGATGCAGTGTATCATACAGCCAGAGGACCCAGAAGAGATCCATAGGTTTGCTGTAGAAGCATCAAGACAACTCAATCATGCTCAGAAACACCAGGCAAGGTAAGATTCCCTTTAATAAAGCATACAAATGATTGAGTTCATTATATGATCTATCCACACTCTATGCTCTTAAAAGAACACCAGGCCACATCACATTCGATTGGTGACATCCACCGAGGTATGTCCAGGATATACCCCGATTGACGTTGTGTAATTTCCAATTTTTTTCATGGTGGAAGTATTTCATATCTTGTTAGCCATCCGCGACCAATCCTTGCACTAATGACTGCCTCGTTTGGTGAAGAAGGGAGTTCCTCCCCCTTCCCCCTAATGAAACAAAGCCTCGTTAAAGAGCTCTAACCACCACATCTCCAATATACGCCAAAATGATTCTAAAAGATGACATTTAATCCGTCTTTCCCTAATGATATATTTGGCTTCATTTCCTTCAAAACTAGCAGTCTCTCTCTCTCTGAACTTACTCCTTCACATATTCTCATCGACTCTAAAGACAATGTTGGTAAGTTTCTAAAGAAAAATTCTGCAGATTATGCATATAATATACTATAGAACTTGTTAATTTCTTAGTTATTTCATAATTTTTCATTCCTCAACAATTTTATAAGCGATGTTTTCTTTTTATTAGACTAAATTAGTTGGGTGAAGTATCTGCTGTCCTTCTCTCCACTTTCATTAATGGGATCCAGTAACTTTGTCTCAGATTCTGAAACAGAATCCTGGATTTAGCTCATGCTGCAATGATAATTATAAACCTTTAGGTCAGTCAGGAACTCCATGACTTTTACAAGCCGATCGCCTGTCTGATTATCAAGATATTTATGATTGGAAATCAAATTCAAATTTTGTGTTTTCCGAATGGTTTTCATTACACTACAGTCTATTGGGGAAAATGAGTATGGTAAAACCGGTCACTTAAAGATTTTTACTTTTTTAAGGGAACTTCTTGATCATTTTGGAATGCCTTTTTTTTTTAGGGCTTCAATATTACACCATATCACAGACACTGATAACACGTAGTGCCATGCATCTCAGATTTAACATTGTTAAACGATGCCTTTAAAAGATGATCTTGATCTCATTTTTATTCCTTCATTAAAGGGACTTTGTAACATTGTTCAGATGAGAGATAGTGGTGCTAAGGTAGTGATTTCAATGCTAGGTGTACAATTAAAGATAATCTGATAATTTGAGTGAAAACAGATCATTATTCATGGTACAAATTCAGAAAAACTGATCTGATCGATTCCTTAATTCTCCCAACTATATTATTCTACTTCTATTCTGTTACTTCTTGGTCAAAGCCTGTTCAGCATCAAGACAAGGACAATTTAATTACATTTTAGGTGAATGTAAATCGTCACAAAGCAATAAAATGGCTCTACATTCCATTCTACACAGTTAAGTGTTGACATATTTTTATAGCCTGTTTTATGTATTTTTCTCATGGAAAAATGGTTGGGAAAATTCAAAAATTTAAGAATTTACTGTTAATCACTGTTAGAGGGTGCCTCACATCGATGCCTTCAAAGAAAACCATAGATATCTTTGTGGTTTGAGAATTTGTTAAGGATTTTTTGCATGTCAGAGGGTTAGTATAGTAGAAGGAATATAGTAAGTAACATTTTATACAAAAATTATGCAATTTTTTTCATCAACCTTCAACAATGTTACCGAGTCATTTTAATGTAGTTATAGCATATGTTTATTGTGGGATATGAAGTTTGATACAAGTAATCTTCCTTCTGTCTTTTAGAGCCCAGGAGATGGCCGACAATCTCGCCCAGAGGGATGCTCTCCTTTCAAAGATCCTCTCTCAGATGTCTATGGAGACTGCTGACCTTGTGTCAGACAATCTCCAGGTCAAGGGTCAGGGTGAGGTCAAGGGTCAAGGTGAAGTCAAGGGTCATGGTGAGGTCAAGGGTCAAGGTGAAGTCAAGGGTCGAGGTGAGGTCAAGGAGGATGAGAAATACAAGAGTAGCAGGAAGAAACAAAAAGATGAAGATGGTGAGTCTTAATTTGCACACTTTTGTTTGTTTTGTATTTCTACCCCCCCCCCTATTTATTTGATGATATAATTATAATTGGTTACACACAAAAAAATATCATCAATATATTGTGCATAATATATAGGTAAAAACGTATGATTGTAGAAGTTGGCTCGTTTTTTTTATTTGTTTATTGCTTGTGATGAGTTCGAGGGTCTTAGATTTGGTAGATACTCATGATAATAGACGAGTCGGCAGTCAGGTTTGTGATGATGGTGACCATGTTTATTGAACTACGACGGATACCGGATATATCGGATATCGTATATCGTAACAGCTTGTACATGTAATGTCCACTTTACAGTATAGACTTGGTTATTTTTTCCAAACCTCCTTTTTCTTGTAAATATCCTCTCTCTCTCTCGCTCTGTCTTTGTCATTTCGTCTTTGTTACATTATTACGGGCTTTTCATTTCTCAGCTGCTTCTGTCAGTAGTAACACAACCTCAACAACAGCATCAAAACTACGCAAAAAGCAAACGGTGTCTGCTTATAAACCAACTGTAAAATCGAACAAACCACTGGCATACCAGACTAGCCTTGCTGTTCTGGATCTCATTGGGAAGGGGCTGGTAAAGAGCCTAATGGAAGATAGACTTCAGTCTTCATCACATGGCAAGAGAAGGCAGTTATTAGTGCTCTATGATCTGGTGGGGAATGGAGATGTAAGTCATAATTACACTGATCTTCTTATTATTATTTTCTTCTTTTTTAAATTAAATTAAATTAGTTTTATAACGTCATCTTCTGTGATATCCAACATTAAATGTGTATTCAACAGGTTTATTACTCCAAAATCACAGTGAAAACTATATCAATTCAAATTCTTTTTCAGGTAATTCATATTCGATCAACAACAAAATAAAATCATGATTATTGACATTCTTTCGATTTTTGAGCTAAAAATGTGTGTAGCATCCACCCATATATATCTTATTCCTTAGTATTCTTTTTCTAGAGCCTTTTTTGTGTTTGGCTGTATACTATGGGGGGGGGGGGGGGGGGGGGGGGGGGTAGGGGGTATTTGTCCTTAGGGGGTATTTGTCCCGGGGGGTAATTATCAAGGGGAAAATTGTCCTGATACGGTCACATGCATCTAATATTTAGTCATTTCTAGCTACATTCTGGAGCATATTTTTGAAAAAAGGCATATATATTTCCCATTTTCCCATACACTATAGCCTGAGTAGTTTCAAGCTACAGACATTGTTGAGAGAGAGTTTTCCCCAGGATGCGGGGAAGGGACTTTACAAGCTCCCCTTCCCACAAAATCCACGACTCGTACAACCACTGCAGATTGTAACAGGCCTTCCAGTGACCTTTGTATTATAATTACGATCCTATGAAGAATTTTATTTCTTCCAACTTTTTGTCTGCAGGTTGTAATCCATATGACGCTGGCATCGTACGGTTTACTCTCCCACCTGATGCAATATATCCAGAGCAATGTGCAATACTTGGTCAATGTCCTCATCTGTAAGTTAACGTAGTTACTTCTCACTTGTTTGTAAATAGGACCTTGCAGTTGAGGTAGAACGCTTCATTACATGTCATAACATTTACCACAATTTTTTTTCTTCTACCGGTGTATTTTGTGGGAAGTATTCTCAGTATATACTTTCAACTCTTTTAATAATAATAGCTAGTTCTGATACATAATAATAATAGTGAACATTTATAATGCACCATGTCTGTCAAAAATGACACTCCTGGCGCAGTTGTGTGGAAGTTGTATAATTGTGGGCAAGTGGGCATACAGCGCTTTTCAGGACCAAAGGCTCTCTCAAAGCACTTTAGAGATATATATATTATTACCCCGGTGATGTGATGGCATGGTTATTATAAATGTATTCTTGAGTTGCCTCAACCCCTTTCATCTTGAGGTTTGTGAACAATCACATCAAAGAAATTGACTTTTGATTGATGTGTGGAGACTAATAAAGGATATATTTATTCCTGAAACGAAGAGACACCCTATGAAGTTTTTTTCCTGTGAGATGTATTTCATACTCAATTTAACAATATGAAACAAGCATTTGGCATCTTTTCATGCCACTCTTTTTTAATACTCTCAAAAATTGTTCAAAAATGTTTTGGCACAGAGGGGGATTGAGTATCATGGATATTTGTTCAAAATTGTGTTCATTTCTTAGTTTACATGTGCATGTAGTACCATATGAGAGTTTTTAATAATATTGAATGGCCTTGAGTGGGAAACAAGGGTATCTCCCACAATCTGATGAGTATATTTCATGAGTTAATTGGCCTTGAGTGGGAAACAAGGGTATCTCCCACAATCTGATTAGAATATTTCATGAGTTAATTGGCCTTGAGTGGGAAACAAGGGTATCTCCCACAATCTGATGAGTATATTTCATGAGTTAATTGGCACAAAGAGAGAAATATCCTCAAAGCGAGTGCGATATACCCTTGTTCTCCACGAAAAGCCACTCAATATTCTTATACTCAATTGAATGAAATATTGTTTATATTGGCTTGGTCAGACTTGCACATTTAACATGCAGAGACAAATTTTTTGTCCTTACCCAAGTATTTTGCATTTTCATATATACATATATACATTGCCTTAGCCTGTGCGTATCTCAATGCGTATTCACCATTTAACACGTTCGTGCACCCAAAATCAAGAGTTATTGAACATTTCCTGCACATTCATCCGGGTACTGTTTTATCGAAGCACAAGACAAGCTAAACTTTCTGGTTCAATTCAATTCAATTCAATTCAATTAATTAATTTTCCTCTTTCAATCGTTCATATTTACAATCATGGTACATGTTAACATATTCACATATTTATATACGTATAGATCAATTTGCACAATACAATACATTAACAAAATAAACATGAAATTAAAAGGGAAGGAGGGCCGACTAAAAAGCAAAGCTTGTAGAGTGTAAGCCTCCCTGTAAACGTAATTATCATGAATTATTTTTTTTGAGAAAAAAACAAAAACAACAGTAATAACAATAACTGATTCAGTAATACAAAATAATCACTTTTAAACGCAAAACATTGATAAATACATACATGTTTATAAAAAGAAACAATCAAAGTTGCATAACGTCACACTACAAATTATATTTGATTGGGGAATGCAATAGCCTAGGAAATATTCAGAAGAAAGCTTTTAAGTCTCCTTTTGAAAATTTGTATCGAATTACACTGTATAATATCATTTGAAAGAGAATTTAAGGGTGGTTGACACATGACCCTTAAATTAAAAATGAGATTTGTGCATGTTGATGAATTCCCCATGCTACAACAACTGGAATTTGCGAGAAAAACACCCACCAAAAAAACGGCTTGTATATAACATTATGTTTGCCATGTACAGTCAAACCTGTCTATAGCGACCGCCCAAGGGAAAGACAAATATTAGAGAAGGGGTCTTTGTAGACAGGTTCCTTTAGTTCATGTTTCAATGAGAAACCATTTTTAAGGGGGAAAAAAATGTGGTCTTTGTTGACCTACGGTGATCACTATTAAAGGGAAAGTCCACCCCCAAAATAAGTTCGTTTCGATAGAGGCAGAATAATAAGAAAATCAGGTGAGTGAAAGTTTGAGCAAATTCTGAATGAAAATAAGAAAGTTATGAATTATTGAAGTTGTGATCAATCAAATACAAATTGGCAACTCTGTGACTTATTATACGAGCTCTCCTTCATTTGCTTTGTGCATAATATTCCATAAAATCATGTTTTCTTCGTTATTGATGACGGAATATATATTTGTTCCTTGCAGGGGGAGTATAGAAACATATTTGCAATTATTATATTTAGGGTGCATGTATGGTTGAAATTTTTCTTGAGGGAAAATGAAAATTTTAGATTTTTTTAGTACTGAGCAAATGGAAGTTGAGCTCGCATGATACATCATAGAGTTGCCAATTTGTGTCTGATTGATCACAACTTCAAAAATCCTAACTTCCTTATTTTTAATCGGAATTTGCTCAAACTTTCACTGACTTGTTTCTCTCATTTTTCTACTCCTATTAAAACTAACTTAATTTCAGGGTGGACTTTCCCTTTAAAGCAGGTTTGAATGTACATCTATACCTTCAAAATGAGATGTATTTTCTATATTTATCTTGTGACTAATGCACTCAGGCCTAACGATTCTACGCAATATGATGGGAGACCAGCGAATCAAGCAGCTCTTCCGCTCCGAGGGTGGTGAGAAGTTTCTTCAGCGAGTTGTCATGGCAACAAAAGGAGCAGTCAAGCTTCATGCAGAGCGACTTCTGTCCTACCTATCCCAAGGTATGTTATGAAAATGGCGCTGCATGATGAGAGATAATAAGAGTTTTTCCAGTTTGATGGTCACAAGAAATTATTTGAACATGAATGTGGTTTTGGCGTTTCAGCAAGCTCACAAGTCCTTAATTAATTAACGGTCACCATATTTTATTGGAAATAGAGCTGAATTGGTATGACCGGATTTAATCTAAATTTCACAAATTTTCTATTAAAAAAAGTCTAAAATTCATAGCAATTTTAAGGTCCTTAAAGGGCACTAGAAATAACGATAAGAGCAATAACCATGCACTTTGAAGGCATTTGTAGTCTTAAACTAGAACTCAAAGTGACTGTCACTTTAAATAGATTGGGCAACTTTGTCTCAGATTCTGAAACAAAATCCTGTATTTAGCTCATGCTCCTTCATTCGTGTCTCCTTAGATCAAGATTAATGTATCTTGATCTTCGGAGTAGTGGCTACAACTGGCCGTGTCAGACATGTTGCCCCGGGGTGCGAGATAGGACTCTTGTAGCGTTCTCCCATTTAACACAATTATACAATAACAATTAACATTACATTTAATTTAATAAAAGAATGAAACGATTAAAATTACTCTCATGTTGCGGGGAAAAAATATTATACAGTGCGTCCCAGAAAAAACGAAACCAAGAAATATCGATGTTTTATCATAACTTAATCACAATCATAATTAATGAATGATACATATTTGGAAAGCTTAGAGTCTCCTCTTTGAGTTGATGCTACTCACGTGATGCATATTTCACGCGTGAGTGATTAAAAGCAATTTGAAGGAAGGAAACCAAAAAGTAATTTGGCGGGCGGTATCTGAATTTCAAAGAAAAATTCACATTTCTAGAAAGTTCATTTTCTGCTCTCTCATATGATACATGTACCTCAATCAAGAAAAATGAGCCAGGAATAACAAAGTTCTGTTTGTTTAAAGTAGCCCTTACATTTTCATAATTTTAACAAACGAATTCGTTTTTACTGGGTGCCTGCCGTAGCAAAAAGCAGATTTGACGAAAGACTTAACTCCGTTTCGTTGACAATCAGCCATGCATGAAGGCTCTCGTCTACGGCTGATTATCAACGAAACGGAGTTAAGTCTTTTGTTAATTTCGTTTATTGATACGGCAGGCAGCCAGTGAAAACGAATTCGTTTAATAAAATTATGGAAATGCAAGCACTTCTTTAGACATTGTCATTCCTCGCTCATTTTTCCTGATATGAAAGGGCAGAAACTCAACTTTCTAGAAATGTGAATTTTTCTTCGAAATTCAGATACCGCCCGCCAAATGTCTTTTTGGTTTCCTTCTTTTAATCACTCATGCGTGAAATATGCATTATCTGAGTAGCATCACATTAAAGAGGAGACTCTAAGCTTTCCAAATATGTATCATTCATTAATTATAGTTGTGATTAAGTTATGATAGAACATCGATACTTCTCGGTTTCGTTTTTTCTGGGACGCACTGTATATATATATATATTATGAATCAATGGCAGTTACGGTAACGATGGATAAGGGGATGAGGAAGGGGGTGCACATGTGAACTGCAAGCGTAATGGGGATGATCATCCTAATTCCTATCCTTTTAGGTTGTGCAATCTGGGTCAGAATCCAGCATAATAAATATATTTATATTTTGTAAATAAAAATAAAAAAGTTCATGTAAAAGCACTCATGATAAGGCCGCGTCCTGCCCCTACAAAGAGTAGCAGAATAATGTAATCGGGAGATTGGCCACCGTCAGCAAACAACGACGTCATCACCATCATCATCATCATACTGCAATCATGATTATAAACCTTTAGGTCAGTCAGGAACCCCATAACTTTTACAAGCCGATTGCCTGTCTGACTATCAAGATATTTATGATTGGAAATCGAAATCAAATTTTGCGTTTTCATAACACTACAGTCTATTGGGGAAAACGAGTATGGTAAAACCAGTTACTCAAAGATTTTTATTTTTTAGAGGAACTTCTTGATCATTTTGACGCTTCAATTAGGGCTTCAATATTACACCATACCACAGACACTGATAACACATAGGGCCGTGCATCTCGGCTTTATCATTGTTAAATAATGCCTTTAAATGAACAGGTGATTAGGATGCACCAATTGTAGCCCATACCGGCACTAGACCAACTGATGAGTTACACAAAGAAATAATCTTACAGATCACAAGTGACAGTGTAACACTAATTAGGTAACTTTGCCTCAGATTCTTTAAAAAATCATGGATTTAGCTCATGTTGCAATCATGATTATAAACCTTTAGGTCATACATGAATCCCATAACTTTTACAAGCCGATCACCTGTCTGATTATCAAGATATCTCTGATTGGAATTAGAAATTTCAGAATTCGTTTTTCCTAACGGTTTTTAAAACACTACAGTTTATTGGGAAACATGAGTATGGTATAACCGGTCACTCAAAGATTCTTACTTTTTGAAGCGCAATTTCTTTAGGCCTTCAATATTACACCATATCACAGACATTGAAAACTTTAATTCTTCCGTGTCAAATACCTTGGTGACCTGCTCTACCCTACCATTCAATATCTGTTATTGTTTATTCTACAAAATCTCAGTTTCTGGTTCTTATACTAGTTGTAGGTAATTCTTAAAGATGAATTTGTATACATATATATATAGTTAACAACTGAATTATTCATACCCTTACTTACCAAGTTTTTTAATTAATTGAGCATGTGAAAAATTAATTTTACCTGAACAATTTATCTTGAGAATGTGCGATATTAAAGTTTATATCTCAAAATATTCAACAAAGGCCCAAATTCAACCATGCAGTCTACCTTTCATTCTTGAAATACAAAAAACACAACAACATCAAATATATAAAAGGGCTATCAATGATTTAGGTATTGACTGTTGATATATACCATTGCACTCACACAGGGCTTTATTTTCTTGGTCTGCAAATGGGATACTTAACATGCTGTATAGTACCTTTAAAGAGCAATCAAAGTACAGAACAGATCCATTATGTGCAAGCTTATATGCGATCACGTGTGTGTGTAATTGGGTTTTTATAGACGTGTATTAATCAGATATGATTATGTACGTCTGGGGACCAACCTTTAACGTCACCATCCGAAAGACTGAATGTTTCACTCCATTTATATTGTTTGTAGACTTGGGGAGTGTTTCATGAAGACTATTAGATCGACTTTAAGTTGGACTTAACTATGGCATGTCATTCATGCCACTGTTTGCTCTCACCATTTACTAGCATTGGTCTCTCATGAAACGTACAAATCATTGTCACAAATCTACAGAATTTACCATTTTTGATAATTCATTATTGAAGGAGAAAATATTTTCTAAAATTAAGAGCAACGTGTGGCATGAATTGCCTCCATAGTTAAGTCCAACTTAAAGTCGATCTTAGTCTTTGTGAAACACCCCCCAGGAAGGATAACAGTTTTGACACATAACTCCTATGTGTTGTAAAAACATTGCTTTATTTATTCAGCTTGTCGAAGCTCTCATGTGCATGTTATTACATCTATTTCCTCTATACAAAGTGATATGTATTACAATTTTATTGTTCTTATTTTCGTATTGGTAGTTATATGTATCCTTAGCTGTACATATTTTTCTAGTTGGTTATTGTTTATCAGTCAACAATTTGCTTCCTTTTCCTGTCTTGCAGTTATTTGTATTCTCTATTCAATAGTTTTTGCTTCTTTATTCCTCCTTCTACATGTATGTGTGTCTACATTGTTCTCCTAAATCTTTCTCTACTTCCCCATCCCCTTCCTCCTTCTCTTCATGCACCTTCTTCTTCTTCTTCTTCTTCTTCTTCTTCTTCTTCTTCTTCTCCTTCTTCTTCTTCTTCTTCTTCTCTTCTTCTTCTTCTTCTTCTTCTTCTTCTTTTTTCTTCTTCTTCTTTTTTCTTCTTCTCATTCTCCTTCTTCTTCTTCTTCTCCTCCTTCTTCTTCTTCTTCTTCTTCTTTTTCTTCTTCTCATTCTCCTTCTTTTTCTTCTTCTTCTTCTTCCTTCTCTTCTTCATTAAATTTTCTTGAAACTTGTATTTTAATAATAAACAGTAATAGCCCAATAGACATGAACATTTTTCCACAATCAGTTATCACGGATGCCAAGATTTTAGAAATACCGCCCTTTAATAATTCCAAGCTTATTTCCTTATTGGTTTGAGCATTGACATACTTGTTTCTCCGCCATTTTTTTTCTTGAAGCTTTATCTTGCTTTTTTTTTGTTCTCTTTTCTGTTTCTTTTTCTTTTTAATTTTGAATAGGCACAACTGGACTGGCCTGGACATAAACAAACTGGAATCTTTGTGAGATGCTAACCATATGGGGATATGAAGATGGTAAACGACTGATATATTAACTCACTGACTACTGAATTATCTAATTACCATAGGTTTAAAGGTAATACAAAGTTTTGGTATGGGGTCATGAATTTGGTTCAAATGTATATTGGAAGCATTTGCGATCCTACAATATTCAGTGATCGTTGTCACGGTTGAAATCGAGTCTAACGTTATGAAATTGTAAATAATAAACTCTTTATGTTGTATAGCTCCCTCTCAAGGTCAAGATATTAATTAAGCTATAAAACAATGTTTCTTGACTAAAATCGACTGATTAGCTATTCCCGTTTGGAAATTATATATCACAACTACATATTCTGAGATTTTCATGGTCGCAACTACCATTGTACGGCCATAGGCGCTATTTGAAATTTATCAAAAATTTATCGGGAGCACCGGTAAATTTTTATATTCAATTTTTCTCGAAAGCAGAAGTGTTTTAGGGCCTTACTTTTTTAGGGCTTATGATACATCCACAGGGGCATCCAAATATATCAAAATTGTAAAGAATCACTCTCCACCCAAATTTCAAAATTTCCCAAAACTTTGTATTACCTTCAAAGAGCGTCAACACTACTGGGCCAGAAGGGATTAGACCACACAGCAAGATTACTGACAGGTGGCTAATCTCATTAACTCAGCTCCCAACTAACAGAAGAAAAAGAGGATCATGGGGGACCATCAGGCACCGATTGGGGAAGTTTTCTATATAGAGGGAGCAAGTAGCTACAACTAGGACAGTGGGGCTTTAACACAAGGACCGCCCGGTTCCAGTAAGCAAAGGGTTAATACACTGTAAGATGTGTACACTAAGAAGGAAAGCCATGCTCTCAGTACATATATGTGACCTATCATGTCAAAACTTGGACAGAAGTCATGAAAGTTCAATCATAATTTATTCATGATTCACATTCTTCATTTCACAAGTTTGAATGTGATAATTAGCTTGAATTTGGGAGAGTGGTTAGTGATGAAATGATACAATTTAAAAGTAAAGAAGAGGGGGTCGAAAAAAAAATTATATTAGAACAGATTTCTTAAAGTTTAACCTCTGTTTTTTTTTCATTCACAAAGCATTTTCTTATCGTATTTTCACCTTCCTTTGAAGAAAAAACGTAGCAATTAATGATTATAAATAAAAAATGGAATTCTCCAGTTGTGTAAATGCTAATGTTTATTCTGATAAAATGCCCAATATTTAAATGGGTTTCAGCCATTCATCCTAATATGGTTATAATTAGGATTAGTTTTGAGTTATTGAACCGTTTCTTGTAGTGGGGCAGATGTAACATGCTATTGTTTGAGTTCATCTCTGCACCATATGTATTTTTCATGCTCCCTTCAAACACATTTTTTCACTTCAACCTTTTGTATAGAAAGGTGGAGATTTTTGTGTGTGTGATATATCTAGCTCTAAAAAGTAACTTAATACATAGGCTCTCTTTTTTAATCAAACCTGTACTCTGGAAAGATTTGTTCCACTCTTTTGCTCTCTTTCATCACTAAAGATTTGTATACCCTCTGTGTGTGTGTGTGTGTGTGTGTGAAAGTAAATGAATATGAAATTAAAGCAGTGCAATATGAACAGATCATTTGTTAAATGATCACCCTTTCATCACGATATTGTCTCATCTTGTTTAGAGTCAAGGAAAATGTAGACGTCTAATAGCAATGCGCATATCTATTATCAACTTGATGCGCAACAATTGTGTCCTTGCATTGTACGTGCAGGTAGAACAATTCCCGGCCGGGGCAATTTTATTTTTTGCTATACCCAGCATTCCAGCAGTAAGTAGGGAATTTCATGCGTGCAGTTTCGACCAATGAGAGGTCTAGAATCTTTGTATGCGGAGTGTAAAAATATATACTTCTACAAACAAGGCATTTGGTATTTAACCCTTGAATACTGAAGCAGGTATAATTCTGACTGGCTGTAAAAATTGTGTCTTACCAAAATCAAGTGAAATACGACTAGTTAAACACTTTATTACAGGATCCAAAAAGATTGAGACAAAAACCTGTCCCATTACCAAATTTTTGTAGAAATTAATACCCCTGACTTTTGCTTAATTGAGTAATAAATGCTCAGGAAGTACCTTATTTTCGTTGGAATTTGTTTGTGTCATTTTTTGCTCTTCACCAAAACAAAACACACCTCTTTTTTCAAATCTGTGAAATTTCTAACTGTCATGGGTACACCTCCACTTGACCACTGCGAGATATTCCGTTTGTGTAAAGTAAAATTTGATTTACTATGTATATGCATGAGAATGTAAACAAGGTAATATGTACAGTATATCCAAACTTGATATTCGATTTGAATATTTGAGTCTTGTTTTTTTCTGTTGTATAATTAATGAAAATATATGCATTGTAGTTTAATATTAAAGTGATACTGAACTGATGATCTTTCTGCAATAGTTTACTGTTTATTGCATAGCGCCATCTCAAGGTCAGCTTGCCAACAGTGCCTAGCCCGAAACCTAATTTACACTTCGCAGACAGGACTTTTTGCAAAAACAAACACCAACAGCGCAGCTAAAGAAGCAGCGAGTTTCGGGACCATACTGTTACAGCTGACCAGAGATGGTTTTTGAGGGTTTTTTTTCCCGGTAGTACAGTATGGCTTGAAGTTTGAGGAATGGATATCAGTTAAGCAACTAGGATGATTGTTTTATGCATGAAAAGTATGTGTAACTATGAAGCAAGTGAGGATTTGCATAGCCAGTTTATATTCAAAATAACTAATTGTTGTTATGTCTTTCATACTTAATCTACACAAAACACCTTGAAATTGTGAAATGATGTATATTGTTATTTTATGAGAGTCTATAAAGATAAATAAACTATCTTCAAACTAGATTCAATTGAAGTAATTTGTTATTTATTTGGTATATCATGTATATGGCAACCAATAGGCTGAATGACATTATGTTTACAATCATGTGTACACCATGCGCGTATGCAGGGGGGGGGGGGGTTAGGGGGTTAAATCCCCCCCCCCTTGGTATTTTTTATGTGTGTATTTTTAAGAACCCCCCCCCCTTTTTTTTTAATTATATAAAATTTTAAAAAATTATGCCCATGGCTGACCTAAAAAAGGTGACCTTACCCCCCCCCCAACGAAGAAAAATGTCAAATTATCTAATTTTGAGACCCTCCCCCCCCCCCCCCAAAAAAAGTGTCCTCTAACCACCCGCCGCCCCCCCCCCCCCTGCTTATTCAGCGGCTGGCTGAGTCATTGCAAAATTTTCGGCCCGATTTCAAAATGTTAACCCCCCCCCCCCCTTGAAAAAATCCTGCATACGCCACTGGTGAACACATTCGGCAATCGGCATCCATTATTGATATGCCAACACATCTAATTTCATGATTGCTTAAAAATTATTTATAAAACATGCTGGGAAGGAATTATTATACCATAAATTCACATATCATTTATTCACATGTAGAAATATTGATTCAGATAAGTTAACACTGTAGGGACGAATAAGCAGAATTTACTTTGTCTTGATTAGGTTTTTTTTATTAGTTCACATATATCAACTTCCTTATCATTCTGTTTCCATGGCAACGGCGGTTACATAACTTTAATGAGCATAAAACCAGTAGGTGCCTCGGTGAGATTTACTGGTACAAATGACCTTCATGTGCCCATTCGCAGATTGTATATATACGAATTGAGTTATTGCATTTGATTCCGAGCCATATATAACAAATATACCAGATTTATGAGAAGAAAGGACAAAGGTTCTGCACATTCTTTGTCTATTTTTGTTGCATTGCTATTTTGCATTTAAAGCTGTAAAGTTTGAAAACAAAAAGAATGAATTAGCAAAGAAATTAAACACCTTGAGCGGTCGAAATCATTCAATTTCCATCAAGGCCCGGGGGTTCCTAACCGTCAGTGTACATTGTTTTTAGATACATTAACATTTCATATGAAAATATGGCATTGAAATTTTAAAAAATGAAATTGTATTGTTGCCAATTTGAAACTCATGAATGACTGATCAATTTTAGTCGTTAAAGAAAAATCTCTGTCGTGACAGGTCAGACCAACCATTGTATAACAAAGCGAGGCCCCAGGGCGACGTGCAAATAGTTGCCCTGCAGTTTTTTATGGTCAATTATTTATGGAACCAATGTTGACTTTTCAAACAGAAAGGCAATAATTAATCTAATTATACCTAGAGAAGATCATGTGATGTTTTCCATGAGCTCAATTCTTGTTATGATGAATGAATAAAATGTCCCCACTGCTTGAGACATGTAGTAGGCCTATTTATTCGATTTTCTCGAATCAGTAAAACTTTGATTATTCGATTGTACTTTCACATACATTGTATATGTAGAGCAGTGGTCTCGTAATCCGGTGACCCGGGTTCGAAACCAAGGCGATGCGCTAGTGCCCTTTGGTAAGGCATTAATCCTCATTACCAGGTCCCTCGGGGAGGACCTAAAGCCGTCGGCCGTCTGGTTGCTTACTTACAAGCATTTATGCTTTCTTAGCTGTCAGGTAAAATAACCACCATCATTCACATGTTCATGTGCTTTACGTAATGCCGACAAAATGAATTTCCAAATGGACCCAAAAAAAACTAATCTAAATAATAAACCTGAATTAAACCCCATTGGCTCCATTCATGTTGGAATGTATAGTTTACGTCACGTAAGATATCTCTTTCTCTAATCTTTAGGAAGATTATTTAGTTTTTCGAGAAAAATTGTCCTATTGTGAAATGGAAATGTCCACGTACATGATGTTCATCAACTTTGTATTAGGGAATGGGTGTTGAGTACCATTAAAGCCTATCTGCACTAGTTTGGCCAGAAGGGATTAGACCTCCCTGCATGGTCACTGACAGGTGGTTATCTCATCAAATTAGCTTTCAATAATATTTTTTTTAAGGGGACCATGGGAGACCAACGGTTACCGATTAGGCATTGTTTGCTATATAGAGGGCGCAAGTAGCTACAAACAGTGCAGTGGGGCTTTAAAGGAGAAATTCATTAACTATTACTATTAGCTGATAATCTTATTACAAATTGTAAGCTAGTTAAAACTATCTTGCAATAATTATTCCTAATTGATTACTTATCAAGGACAATACTCACAGCCACGTTTGTAGTTTCCTTGCTAGCCATTCTCCCATGGAAGTTACCATATTGATTAATAGTGACGTCAGAGTAGTACTACTTTTGAGATATATATACCCACTGACCTGTATATTATTTCGGACACTCGCCTGTGTAATGCATGATAATTGTTATAGCTAAGGAAGAGGTAGAAGAAGAAGAAGATGATGATGATGATGAAGATGAAGAACAAATGAGAGGAAGAAGGAGGAGGAGAAGAAGATAAGGAGAATTTAAAGGGATAGTTGAGTTATATTTTTGTAGATCGCAAATGCCTTCAAAGTGCATGGTTATTGCTCTTATTCTTATCTATGACATTTCTAGTGCTCTTTTGGGTCCTAAAATTGATAAGAAGGTAATTTTAGACCCCAAAAAGTGTGAAATTTAGCCAATACGATCATACCAATTCAGCTCCACCTTCAAAAAATAAGGTGACCGTTCATTAATTAATTAATTATTTCAGCCGTCTCTGAACCGATTTTGATCACACAAAGATGATTTTGTCATTTAAATTGTATGTAATAATAAAAAAAAAAAAACGCCTTTTACGTTGTATTTGAGCCAATGCCGATGTTGGCTTTTTCGTGTTGGTTATATTACGCACAATCAACCGGCACATGTATTGTTATTATTAATTTAATTAATAAACGGTCACCCTATTTTTTTAAAGTGGAGCTGAATTGGTATGATCGTATTGGCTAAATTTCGCACATTTTGGGGTCTAAAATTACCTTCTTAGCAATTTAATTTTAGGTCCCAAAAGGGCACTAGAAATGTCATAGATAAGAATAAGAGCAATAACCATGCACTTTGAAGGCATTTGCGATCTGAAAACAGAACTCAACTATCCCTAAACGGAGGACTGTGTATGATATCGAATCTAAGTTGTTCATCGGCTTTCAACGGCTGGTTTAAATTATCTAATATTTGTGGTGGTAAGCCTACACAAATATTAGAAATCGTTATATTTATGGATACTTCAGCCGTCTCTGAACCGATTTTGATCAAACAAAGATGATTTTGTCATTTAAATTGTATGTTCTTTCAAATTTGACACTCAGATTTTCATTATCTCACACACACACAAATATTTTGTGTAGCGCCCTCTGCTGCAGAACTACACTATCCCTTTAATCATGCAGAGTTTCCAAGGGTATTTCCATGTAGAATTATTTAAAAGGGTGCCCGTTTCTCTTTTGAGTACTTAATGTCCCGCTTAATGTATGACACATTTAGTTTTAAAGGGGACACGAGTCAGTTGCGCCCCCCCCCCCCCCTTCTCAAAAAAAGACCTCCCTACATGTTTAGTTATACTGCAAAGTATGATGATCAAGCAATATATTGTATGATGTATAAAGAGAATCATATATTGAAATCAACCCTGATAATGTAATCACAATGTACGGGTATATACCAATGTCTAAAAAATTGTGTATTTTCGCCTTGAGATTTCCTTTTTAGGTGTCCTTTTTGTGGTGGTTCCCCCTCCCCCCCCCCCTCAATTTTGGAAGTCGCTCCGCCACCCCTGCTTAGATTTGTTCTATTTTCTGTCGGGCTTTTATGAACATTAAAAACAAGTTTAAAACAATTTTGTAGAGCCGTGTGTATGAAGGACTTTGAAGTGTATCATTTTCAGGGGCGGATCCAGGAATTTCTTGCCGGTGGGGGGGGGGGGGGGGCACACGGTGGGAAAGAGAACATATATAAAAAAAATTTTTTTTTTTTTTTTTTTTTTTGGGGGGGGGGGGGGGGGGTCACGCCCCTGTTTTTCAGTACATCTTGGCACGGTGAATTTAGGGGTGATTTAACATATTTTTTTGGCCGGGGGGCACGTGCCCCCTGTGCCCCCCCCCTGGATTATCCACTGATTTTAAGTCAGCAAAATATACACAACCGTTCTGCTCAGCGCCGGTATATGGCTACCTGCCTACCTGTATTAAACAGTTTATGCGGGTTCGTGCATGTTTATGTTCCTAATAAAGACGTTTTATGGTATGGATGCAATAGGGCTACATGTATATGATTTAATACCTCATTATACATATTTCTGCACTAGCCGAATGTCATTCATTTGCATTTCCTTTGAGCACGTTACGCGTATTTTTTTCATGGCCGAATTGAGGTTATTTTTTTTGTAATGGTGGAGAATCAGAATGATTCAATTGTGGCTGCTCACCATGCAACCATGCTCAGAATCGAGAAAGACAGCGGGATGGAGAAAGACTCCTGCGTTACAGTTTTATAGCAGGCAAATGTTGTTTGTCTCGTTAAAGGTATTACAAAGTTTTGGTATGGGGTATTGGATTTGTATTTATACTTATATCTGGTATAGGTTGCCGTCTAAAACCCTTTCACACCGGTCCATACGTTGATTGGCGTAGTGTTGCGTACCGACTACGCCGAGCATACGCTGTCTTACGCTGGCCTACGTTACTATACGACAATGGGGCGCAAAAAGGTACGCGAGATGTACGCACAAAATGTTTTTTTTCGAGTACTTTCAGCGTAGACACTAGACGCAAAAAGCACCAAAGTTAGTGTTTTAAAGAGGACATTTTGCTGACCAAACCATAGAGATACAGAAGTACGTGTCAGGGTGATATAATAGGCAATTTGCCTAAATATTCTAAGAAATAAAAAATGAGAAGCATAGCTTTGTTAAAGGTACTATGTCCCATTTGCAGGCCCAAAAAATGAAAAAGTTAAATTCCAATTGCATTTGAAAGATAATACTTATTTAGAACTTCCCTAAAAAGGGTGGGGCTTGAAAATGTCTTCAAGTGGGAAAATAATGACTATTGGTTGTCAAATCGACTTTAGGGCTATAGAGCCCAAAAGTAATAGTCTTCATTTTCAGACAATTGTACCGAATGGTCATACGTTTTATGCTGCGCAAAGATTCAATCAGTTTAATCTTGGCCATCACAAGAAGTGGGTTATTGATGTAGACAAATACTCATATACCCTTTACAACTCTTTTCATGTATGTTATTACCAAAGAAGAAAAAAAGCCAGTCAGTCACTCAATAGTGTCTGACAGTGAAGTCTAGCAAGTAAACGGGTTTCCTTGTATAATTTGAATATGAGGACACTGCTAACGTTTAAATTTCACAGATAGGACATACATGACATATTCATAATTCCTGAGAAGTTCTACAGAATTTGAGGTTGGCTGCAAAAGGGACATAGTACCTTTAACGTTCCCCATTGCTGCCATCCAAAATGTCAACATTTAGTTTCTTGGAGACTTTTGGCAACCTCTCTCATGAAAAGAAATAAATAACTAACCAGGAAGACTGTATAGCCCGGCATATACTCAGTACTTAATTCAGACAGATAATTATTATTCAACCCCTGTTTAAAAATTCTGTCTCACCACGCGTTCGCACAACAATACAAGGACCGTGAAATCATCGTGACATCATGACCCATCAGTGCCATCACATCCCATCTAATCCAAAGTTTTACCATGAACAATCATTCTGGCTTTGGGCAAAGCTTATTTGTTCCCAGTGTTATGACAATGTTATGACAATGATGATAATGATTATTTTGTATGCACCCAAAGCATCCACAAAATATTCCTATCTAGTTTTTACCTTAATAATACGTGCATCCGATCAATTTCTTGTCTCTTTGTTTTTCCTTTGCTGTATATTTGTTTAAAACATTTATTTGTTTGTTAGTTTATTTGCTTGTTTCTTTTTGTTTCTAAATTTATTTGTATTATTGTTGTTGTATTGCGGGGGTGGGGATGTATAGGATGCATTATATAAATTGTGGAAGGTTCTATGTGCGTGTAGAGTGAATTTTGTGTGGGTGTAGGTGTATGGAATGGTGTGTCAGAGTTTGGTTGTACATGTAGTATTCTTTTCAAACCGTTCAGTAAATAATGTACTCAACTGTGTTAATAAGTGAAAACTCTTGGAATGCATTTTCACGCCTCATGCATCCCCCTTCCACCTCTCTCTCTCTCTCTCTCTTCCTTCATTTTCTCTATCGTTCAACTTGAGGAAAGGAAATTCAACTTAACTGACTATGACTTCATTGACTTGAACTGTACCACGAGTCTGATCTTCAATTTTATAGGGTCCGATAAACAACAACCAAATAGAAATACAAGGCTTGTGATATTAAAATCTGTTGCTTTATATTGTCTCGTCGTAAATCAGGAGGAAAATAATCTCACTCTCAAACGGTTTGGTATGTCCACGTGACAGGTAAACAAAGCGATACGTCCATTCCAGCTCGAAAGCACTAGCGTATACGAAAGGAGGGGGAGTAGACTGCTCCATTGCCCGTCCGCCCCAGAAAAAAAGGGGAAAAATGACAATAAAACTCAAAAACTTCTAACATAATAATATACGAAGTGTATTGGAGATATCCATTGTATTGTTGAGTATGTTGTTGTTTGTCGTTAACGATATTGGTAGTGGTTGTTATACTTGTTTGTAATTTCGATTCTGTTTGACTGGTGACAAGTACAATTTACACGGAAAATGTAACATATTTAACCTGTTTCAAGGGTGTGATATGTTTTTAATCAAGGTTTTTACATACTTATTCAAGGCAAGCCGAATATCTCGGAAGATTAGCAGATGTTTCCCCTCAAAATGTAACATATTTAACCTGTTTCAAGGGTGTGATATGTTTTTAATCAAGGTTTTTACATACTTATTCAAGGCAAGCCGAATATCTCGGAAGATTAGCAGATGTTTCCCCTCAAATATTAAAGCGACCTTTAAAATTACGAAGATTAGTAAATTACTATTCGATGTTTAAATTGAATTGAATAGGCTACAGCTTATATTTTCATAGAACAAACATATGCAGGTCGATGCATCAAACTGAACGATTACAAACATCCAATGCAAAAAAAGCTCTCACAATGGGAGGAGGACACCCCCCCCCCCCTGCCCCCTGTCAAGAAATCTCAGATACGCTATGTCCATAAGGTTCGTTTTGGGGTATGTCCGTGACCATATCAAAATTCATTGAGATATTCATACAGCAAATAGTATACACGATGTTTGCATTGGCTAGTGATAAAAGATAATATAAGTGCATTAGTTTACACTCACCTAAAGTAGCCCTTACAAGATAAAACTATATTTGCTTATCATTAAAAAATAATTACATTCTAAAGATTTGCTCATAAATTCATGAATCATTATTCATTATTCATTCATAAACCTACACTGTAGTATGTACTGAATGTCATCTGAAAAATAAAATATATATATGTTTGTTCTCCCTGTGGCTATCAATATGTAACGTATATTTGTTTGACTGATATGACATGTTACTAGCCCTACAACAGGGGTCGAATAATAGTGGCTCAACTTGCCCGGTTCCCTGAGGGGGTTGCACTCAGCGCTCAAAATACACGGGGGCGGTGGGCGATTCGCCCCCGTGAGCTACAAAATCGCCCCAGTCAGGTTGCTCACGGGGGCGATTGCAAAATTAAAAATCGCCCCGGTGGAATTATAAAATAAAGATAATCTTTTTCTGTTATAACTTTAACACAATATTGAGTTTCAATTTTCAAACCTTAAACCAATGAAATGGAACTAAGATTAGCGTGCAAGATTTCTCGTTTTATGAGTAGGCCTATATTACCGATTCAGCTCGCAGTGCAGTGCCGCCGTCAGCAGTGGTTATAGGCCTACTGCGCCGTTAGTAGCGGTGCGTGCGCACGCTGCCGCGCCATGTCTGCTGGAGCTGGAGGCGATCGGGCAAGGGCAGAAACATATGGTCATGGCCTGGAGAAGTTTTTCGTTGTTAGCAAATAATGAACCTCGACTAGTAAATCAATATTAGGGACTTCTAGATTTGCACGATGAGAACGTGGACTGCAACGTGTGACCTCCTTTTAAGGCACTGCCAGTGCTTAAAAGGACGTCACATGTGATTGCCAGTGCCTTAAAAGGACGTAACACGTCCACGTCCACGTCCACGCAAATCTAAAAGTCCCTTTTGAGGAGAAGAGGAAGACCAAAATGTCGTGGAATGATATGGTAACATGGGCAGATCTACGGCGGGGGGGGGGGGGGGGGGGGGGGGGGGTAGGGGGTTAACCCCCTCCTCCCACCCCCGGCCCCCTTGGGCTGCCAAGTGAAAATGTGATATTAAACCGGGGGGGGGGGGGGTGGATTCTGGAGAGGAGGACTACTAATCTATTTTATTTTTTTCAGGGGGCGGTGGGAAGTGAAGCGCCGTTTTAGCATGATTTTCTTTTTAACTCTTACCTCACCTATCTCAGGTAACCCTAAGTTTTTGGATGCTGCTTTATATGTAGTTGATAATGCATGATTAAAATAAAGAGAGAGAGAGAGAACCACCATCATTTTGCAATGGTTCAGGGTTCGTAATGTAATGTACTGTAATGTAATGTACATTTGAAACCATTTCTTAGCGTCTCAACCCTAAAAAATAGCAAAACTATTTTTGAGGAAAAGCATTATACTGAATTAAATAAAGAATAATAGCTTTATACTGGATCATACTAATACTGATACGGGCTAAAGACAATGTGGTATTTGTATAGAGGCATTCCAAAATGACATTCTGATAATCAACATTTGTTCTGGTATCATAATGTACATGTGTATACGCATAATACAACTGATCTTTATGATTTCTTAACGTGACGTAGCTTCTTCTCCCTCTGCAAACAAAACAGAAAACAAGGTTATTTAATAAAAGGACCATGCGACAAATAATCATTGTGATTCAAATTGATGCAAGGATTTTTTTGAATAAGCAATGCTTTTCACCAGAATCTTCTTTGTAAAAACGACTTTTACAAATCTCAGCCATGCAATTCTGCCACTGTGCTGTAAGATCACTTTGAGATTAGTAGAAGTGTATTATGTAATGGGTATTTTAAATTGAATGGAACGTCTCAACTCAGTAAGCATGGCTGAGATTTGTAAAAGTTGTTTTTACAAAGAAGATTCGGGTGAATAGCAGTGCTTATTCAAACAAATATTCGCATCGATTTGAATCACAATCATTATTTGTCGCTTAATCCCTTTTAATGAACATGTTTTCTTTTTCGTTTGCAAGGGGAGAAGAAGATATGTCACGTTAAAGACATCATAAAGATTAGTGTTGTATGCGTATATATTATATACACAGGCCAGTAACAGCTATGTAGCTTGTAAATTTGTAAGAGGGAAAATGCTGATTGAAATGATAATGATGAAATAGCAAATAATTGAGGAGTATCATAGGTATCAATTAAATGGATATTTGTATAAAAAAGAGCCCCCGTCAGTAATAAAAGAGCCCCCGTGAGAAGGCTCACGGGGGCTGTTTTTTCGGGGGAAGAGCCCCGTGGACAAAAAATTAATTTGAGCCCTGGTGGTAAGCCTACACAAATATTAGAAATCGTTATATTTATGGATACTTCAGCCGTCTCTGAACCGATTTTGATCAAACAAAGATGATTTTGTCATTTAAATTGTATGTTCTTTCAAATTTGACACTCAGATTTTCATTATCTCACACACACACAAATATTTTGTGTAGCGCCCTCTGCTGCAGAACTACACTATCCCTTTAATCATGCAGAGTTTCCAAGGGTATTTCCATGTAGAATTATTTAAAAGGGTGCCCGTTTCTCTTTTGAGTACTTAATGTCCCGCTTAATGTATGACACATTTAGTTTTAAAGGGGACACGAGTCAGTTGCGCCCCCCCCCCCTTCTCAAAAAAAGACCTCCCTACATGTTTAGTTATACTGCAAAGTATGATGATCAAGCAATATATTGTATGATGTATAAAGAGAATCATATATTGAAATCAACCCTGATAATGTAATCACAATGTACGGGTATATACCAATGTCTAAAAAATTGTGTATTTTCGCCTTGAGATTTCCTTTTTAGGTGTCCTTTTTGTGGTGGTTCCCCCTCCCCCCCCCCCCCCCCTCAATTTTGGAAGTCGCTCCGCCACCCCTGCTTAGATTTGTTCTATTTTCTGTCGGGCTTTTATGAACATTAAAAACAAGTTTAAAACAATTTTGTAGAGCCGTGTGTATGAAGGACTTTGAAGTGTATCATTTTCAGGGGCGGATCCAGGAATTTCTTGCCGGTGGGGGGGGGGGGGCACACGGTGGGAAAGAGAACATATATAAATTTTTTTTTTTTTTTTTTTTTTTTTTTGGGGGGGGGGGGGGGTCACGCCCCTGTTTTTCAGTACATCTTGGCACGGTGAATTTAGGGGTGATTTAACATATTTTTTTGGCCGGGGGGCACGTGCCCCCTGTGCCCCCCCCCCCTGGATTATCCACTGATTTTAAGTCAGCAAAATATACACAACCGTTCTGCTCAGCGCCGGTATATGGCTACCTGCCTACCTGTATTAAACAGTTTATGCGGGTTCGTGCATGTTTATGTTCCTAATAAAGACGTTTTATGGTATGGATGCAATAGGGCTACATGTATATGATTTAATACCTCATTATACATATTTCTGCACTAGCCGAATGTCATTCATTTGCATTTCCTTTGAGCACGTTACGCGTATTTTTTTCATGGCCGAATTGAGGTTATTTTTTTTGTAATGGTGGAGAATCAGAATGATTCAATTGTGGCTGCTCACCATGCAACCATGCTCAGAATCGAGAAAGACAGCGGGATGGAGAAAGACTCCTGCGTTACAGTTTTATAGCAGGCAAATGTTGTTTGTCTCGTTAAAGGTATTACAAAGTTTTGGTATGGGGTATTGGATTTGTATTTATACTTATATCTGGTATAGGTTGCCGTCTAAAACCCTTTCACACCGGTCCATACGTTGATTGGCGTAGTGTTGCGTACCGACTACGCCGAGCATACGCTGTCTTACGCTGGCCTACGTTACTATACGACAATGGGGCGCAAAAAGGTACGCGAGATGTACGCACAAAATGTTTTTTTTCGAGTACTTTCAGCGTAGACACTAGACGCAAAAAGCACCAAAGTTAGTGTTTTAAAGAGGACATTTTGCTGACCAAACCATAGAGATACAGAAGTACGTGTCAGGGTGATATAATAGGCAATTTGCCTAAATATTCTAAGAAATAAAAAATGAGAAGCATAGCTTTGTTAAAGGTACTATGTCCCATTTGCAGGCCCAAAAAATGAAAAAGTTAAATTCCAATTGCATTTGAAAGATAATACTTATTTAGAACTTCCCTAAAAAGGGTGGGGCTTGAAAATGTCTTCAAGTGGGAAAATAATGACTATTGGTTGTCAAATCGACTTTAGGGCTATAGAGCCCAAAAGTAATAGTCTTCATTTTCAGACAATTGTACCGAATGGTCATACGTTTTATGCTGCGCAAAGATTCAATCAGTTTAATCTTGGCCATCACAAGAAGTGGGTTATTGATGTAGACAAATACTCATATACCCTTTACAACTCTTTTCATGTATGTTATTACCAAAGAAGAAAAAAAGCCAGTCAGTCACTCAATAGTGTCTGACAGTGAAGTCTAGCAAGTAAACGGGTTTCCTTGTATAATTTGAATATGAGGACACTGCTAACGTTTAAATTTCACAGATAGGACATACATGACATATTCATAATTCCTGAGAAGTTCTACAGAATTTGAGGTTGGCTGCAAAAGGGACATAGTACCTTTAACGTTCCCCATTGCTGCCATCCAAAATGTCAACATTTAGTTTCTTGGAGACTTTTGGCAACCTCTCTCATGAAAAGAAATAAATAACTAACCAGGAAGACTGTATAGCCCGGCATATACTCAGTACTTAATTCAGACAGATAATTATTATTCAACCCCTGTTTAAAAATTCTGTCTCACCACGCGTTCGCACAACAATACAAGGACCGTGAAATCATCGTGACATCATGACCCATCAGTGCCATCACATCCCATCTAATCCAAAGTTTTACCATGAACAATCATTCTGGCTTTGGGCAAAGCTTATTTGTTCCCAGTGTTATGACAATGTTATGACAATGATGATAATGATTATTTTGTATGCACCCAAAGCATCCACAAAATATTCCTATCTAGTTTTTACCTTAATAATACGTGCATCCGATCAATTTCTTGTCTCTTTGTTTTTCCTTTGCTGTATATTTGTTTAAAACATTTATTTGTTTGTTAGTTTATTTGCTTGTTTCTTTTTGTTTCTAAATTTATTTGTATTATTGTTGTTGTATTGCGGGGGTGGGGATGTATAGGATGCATTATATAAATTGTGGAAGGTTCTATGTGCGTGTAGAGTGAATTTTGTGTGGGTGTAGGTGTATGGAATGGTGTGTCAGAGTTTGGTTGTACATGTAGTATTCTTTTCAAACCGTTCAGTAAATAATGTACTCAACTGTGTTAATAAGTGAAAACTCTTGGAATGCATTTTCACGCCTCATGCATCCCCCTTCCACCTCTCTCTCTCTCTCTCTTCCTTCATTTTCTCTATCGTTCAACTTGAGGAAAGGAAATTCAACTTAACTGACTATGACTTCATTGACTTGAACTGTACCACGAGTCTGATCTTCAATTTTATAGGGTCCGATAAACAACAACCAAATAGAAATACAAGGCTTGTGATATTAAAATCTGTTGCTTTATATTGTCTCGTCGTAAATCAGGAGGAAAATAATCTCACTCTCAAACGGTTTGGTATGTCCACGTGACAGGTAAACAAAGCGATACGTCCATTCCAGCTCGAAAGCACTAGCGTATACGAAAGGAGGGGGAGTAGACTGCTCCATTGCCCGTCCGCCCCAGAAAAAAAGGGGAAAAATGACAATAAAACTCAAAAACTTCTAACATAATAATATACGAAGTGTATTGGAGATATCCATTGTATTGTTGAGTATGTTGTTGTTTGTCGTTAACGATATTGGTAGTGGTTGTTATACTTGTTTGTAATTTCGATTCTGTTTGACTGGTGACAAGTACAATTTACACGGAAAATGTAACATATTTAACCTGTTTCAAGGGTGTGATATGTTTTTAATCAAGGTTTTTACATACTTATTCAAGGCAAGCCGAATATCTCGGAAGATTAGCAGATGTTTCCCCTCAAAATGTAACATATTTAACCTGTTTCAAGGGTGTGATATGTTTTTAATCAAGGTTTTTACATACTTATTCAAGGCAAGCCGAATATCTCGGAAGATTAGCAGATGTTTCCCCTCAAATATTAAAGCGACCTTTAAAATTACGAAGATTAGTAAATTACTATTCGATGTTTAAATTGAATTGAATAGGCTACAGCTTATATTTTCATAGAACAAACATATGCAGGTCGATGCATCAAACTGAACGATTACAAACATCCAATGCAAAAAAAGCTCTCACAATGGGAGGAGGACACCCCCCCCCCTGCCCCTGTCAAGAAATCTCAGATACGCTATGTCCATAAGGTTCGTTTTGGGGTATGTCCGTGACCATATCAAAATTCATTGAGATATTCATACAGCAAATAGTATACACGATGTTTGCATTGGCTAGTGATAAAAGATAATATAAGTGCATTAGTTTACACTCACCTAAAGTAGCCCTTACAAGATAAAACTATATTTGCTTATCATTAAAAAATAATTACATTCTAAAGATTTGCTCATAAATTCATGAATCATTATTCATTATTCATTCATAAACCTACACTGTAGTATGTACTGAATGTCATCTGAAAAATAAAATATATATATGTTTGTTCTCCCTGTGGCTATCAATATGTAACGTATATTTGTTTGACTGATATGACATGTTACTAGCCCTACAACAGGGGTCGAATAATAGTGGCTCAACTTGCCCGGTTCCCTGAGGGGGTTGCACTCAGCGCTCAAAATACACGGGGGCGGTGGGCGATTCGCCCCCGTGAGCTACAAAATCGCCCCAGTCAGGTTGCTCACGGGGGCGATTGCAAAATTAAAAATCGCCCCGGTGGAATTATAAAATAAAGATAATCTTTTTCTGTTATAACTTTAACACAATATTGAGTTTCAATTTTCAAACCTTAAACCAATGAAATGGAACTAAGATTAGCGTGCAAGATTTCTCGTTTTATGAGTAGGCCTATATTACCGATTCAGCTCGCAGTGCAGTGCCGCCGTCAGCAGTGGTTATAGGCCTACTGCGCCGTTAGTAGCGGTGCGTGCGCACGCTGCCGCGCCATGTCTGCTGGAGCTGGAGGCGATCGGGCAAGGGCAGAAACATATGGTCATGGCCTGGAGAAGTTTTTCGTTGTTAGCAAATAATGAACCTCGACTAGTAAATCAATATTAGGGACTTCTAGATTTGCACGATGAGAACGTGGACTGCAACGTGTGACCTCCTTTTAAGGCACTGCCAGTGCTTAAAAGGACGTCACATGTGATTGCCAGTGCCTTAAAAGGACGTAACACGTCCACGTCCACGTCCACGCAAATCTAAAAGTCCCTTTTGAGGAGAAGAGGAAGACCAAAATGTCGTGGAATGATATGGTAACATGGGCAGATCTACGGCGGGGGGGGGGGGGGGGGGGGTAGGGGGTTAACCCCCTCCTCCCACCCCCGGCCCCCTTGGGCTGCCAAGTGAAAATGTGATATTAAACCGGGGGGGGGGTGGATTCTGGAGAGGAGGACTACTAATCTATTTTATTTTTTTCAGGGGGCGGTGGGAAGTGAAGCGCCGTTTTAGCATGATTTTCTTTTTAACTCTTACCTCACCTATCTCAGGTAACCCTAAGTTTTTGGATGCTGCTTTATATGTAGTTGATAATGCATGATTAAAATAAAGAGAGAGAGAGAGAACCACCATCATTTTGCAATGGTTCAGGGTTCGTAATGTAATGTACTGTAATGTAATGTACATTTGAAACCATTTCTTAGCGTCTCAACCCTAAAAAATAGCAAAACTATTTTTGAGGAAAAGCATTATACTGAATTAAATAAAGAATAATAGCTTTATACTGGATCATACTAATACTGATACGGGCTAAAGACAATGTGGTATTTGTATAGAGGCATTCCAAAATGACATTCTGATAATCAACATTTGTTCTGGTATCATAATGTACATGTGTATACGCATAATACAACTGATCTTTATGATTTCTTAACGTGACGTAGCTTCTTCTCCCTCTGCAAACAAAACAGAAAACAAGGTTATTTAATAAAAGGACCATGCGACAAATAATCATTGTGATTCAAATTGATGCAAGGATTTTTTTGAATAAGCAATGCTTTTCACCAGAATCTTCTTTGTAAAAACGACTTTTACAAATCTCAGCCATGCAATTCTGCCACTGTGCTGTAAGATCACTTTGAGATTAGTAGAAGTGTATTATGTAATGGGTATTTTAAATTGAATGGAACGTCTCAACTCAGTAAGCATGGCTGAGATTTGTAAAAGTTGTTTTTACAAAGAAGATTCGGGTGAATAGCAGTGCTTATTCAAACAAATATTCGCATCGATTTGAATCACAATCATTATTTGTCGCTTAATCCCTTTTAATGAACATGTTTTCTTTTTCGTTTGCAAGGGGAGAAGAAGATATGTCACGTTAAAGACATCATAAAGATTAGTGTTGTATGCGTATATATTATATACACAGGCCAGTAACAGCTATGTAGCTTGTAAATTTGTAAGAGGGAAAATGCTGATTGAAATGATAATGATGAAATAGCAAATAATTGAGGAGTATCATAGGTATCAATTAAATGGATATTTGTATAAAAAAGAGCCCCCGTCAGTAATAAAAGAGCCCCCGTGAGAAGGCTCACGGGGGCTGTTTTTTCGGGGGAAGAGCCCCCGTGGACAAAAAATTAATTTGAGCCCTGGTTGCACTACACAAAATCAAACCTGAACAAAATGTAATAACAAGTTAACATCTCTTTGAAAACAGCAAATTGAACATGTTTTTCAAACTGAGGCTTTCTGACTCGTAACTTCGCCCAAAATTCATAGAAAATGAAGAAGTATTTGGAAATTATCAATTTTACCACACAAAAACACATTGTTTTCGAACATGTTAATATTTTTGTAAGCATCAAAACACAAAATTATGCATATCTTTCAATAAATATCGGAAACTTTAGCATCAGCGACATTTTTTACATAAACTTCATCATTTTAAATAGCAAACTTACAGGGAAATGATTGAATACACTCAGTAATTACAATAACAAAAATTAGTTATTTCTTCCCGTCAGTACTTACTTTACTAAAATATAAAGTATTCAGTTACGTCATAGGGATTAAATTATTAAATGTAATCATGACAGAAACAATAATATTACAATAACAATAATACTAATAACATTAATAATTAATAATGATAATAATAATAATACTAATAATTATGAATTATAATACGAATGGATAACGATCTTATAGAATTTGGATTAAATGAAATAAGAACCCCCCCCCCCCCCCCCTGCGACCGATAAAGGGAGGGGCGTGGCGGCTTGTGGAAGGGGTTCCTATCATCTTCTTTTCACGTTTTTTCCCCGTATAGCTTTTCTTTCTCTCCTTTCTTTTGTTTTTTCTTCATTTTCTCCGCCCTGAAATAGAGGCACATGCCCGATCCCTCTGGGGCTACGCCATTAATAAAGTAATTTTAAGATTTTGAAATTTTATTATAAAACAACGGTCGTTGCGATAGCGGATTCCTTTATGGAATTTGACCTTGAAATGACTTTGAGTGGAAGTATTATGGAAAATATTTGAGAATGTTATCGTGTACCACAACGTTCATACAAGTCTAAAGCAATAAACCTCCTTTAAAAGTATACATCAGGAATAATATCGAACCCATCCACTTGCCAACCAACCATGCATCGTTTCTAGATTGTTTGACGGGCAAACAACGACAGAGGTTATTTTTCTTTGTCGACACCGTATTAAAAGTTAATCTTTAACCAAATCTCAAGGTATAAAGAGTTCGTAAACTTTGTATTAAGTGGTAGGTTGCAAATGGCCGGCCCACACATTGAACCCGTGCACAGACATTGGCAAGATTGTCTTGAGGGTTGTAATATCCAACTATATACGTATATGACGTAGATAATCATCACCTTTTTGGAATCCAGGAAATAAACTCTTGAACAGAATAGGTCATTTTCGTTATGTAACCAAGAGGTATGCATGAAGCGCCTTGGTACGAAATGTTGCATTCACCTGTACAGTCAGAATGAGAAAGGCATGCATTAGTCGTTGCTAGGTAGGACAAACTTTATGGATTGTCCTACTTAGCAGCACGTAATATATGCAATGTGTATTCTGACTATGTAGTATTGGAATACAATTATTCTTATTGTGAATGCAATAATTCGTATCGACGTACTCATATGTATCAAATGTGGTTACATTACGAAAAGTCTTATTGTGTAGTACGTAGGACATAATATTGAGCGTAAGATCGTGACATAATAACAATGGAACACACCCTCTATCCTCACGATTTTATTAGGGTCTATATTAATACAATAATAGTAACTATAAAATTGTTTAGTTAGTGCATGGGACTACAGCATTGCATTTTCTAAGCTAACAATTAGAAATTGAATTAAACTTTAGACCAAAACTAAAGTGCATTTCTTTTTCATAATGCGGATGAATTCCAATGGGGCGCAAAGAGATGATTCCTTTTCATCCAATTACTTGAACTAAAATTATTTTAGATGGCAGATAATACCATGCTATGGCGATTATCCATCAAACGTAAACATCTAGTGGCTTAGTTCAAAGATTTGTGGAGATATTTGGTTATTCAATACTATACCAAATCCTTGCACTAAAAGGACCCATAAAATATGAAAATACAAAAGAGAGCACAATTCAACCAATTTCATATATTTTTACTTAAAATATAAGTATCCTATACCGTTGGATAGTTTCGAAAAGGCCTTAGAAGAATGAAAGGAGCCCGCCTTTCAGAGATTTGGCTTTGACGAACATTAAGAACATATCTTCAAATATTTACTTTAAAAAGTAGCGTACAAGTGATACTTTAATAGAAGATTTCCATGGTCAAGTAGCTCTCAAAAGTTTGATCACCTATATTCATCATCGCTTCTATCATGTCCATATCTATGCTCTGGAAATGAAAATGTATGCTCCTAAGAAAATGTAAAATATACTGGAAGTGATAAGCCACGTCGTGAACAGGTTATAGATCACAAACTAAATAGGCCAATTAGTCAGTGCCCTGACAGTCATTCTTCATATCCATTGTTGTTCATGACAGTGGCGTAGTCTTGTCATCTCTTCGCGTCATACGGCACCGTCTTATACGGCCTCTGAAGACTGTATCCTTTCAGCGAAAAAATGTGAGATCATCCTTGAACACTTTAGATAATGTATCTATCAACATACACGTGGATAAGGCAACTGAATACAAAATTAAGTCCATATCATTATAAATTCCAATGAAGTTATTAATGTAGAATGAATATTTTCATTTCACTTGCTGAATGTAGTCTTTCGCTGGGCCCTTAATTCTGACTGTCCATGGACAGTCCGTGGGTTCCACCTCAACTCTCGGCTGATTCACAATCAGATGATGACGGTGACGGTGACGGTGACGATGACGATGATGATAGGCCTACGGACATCGAAGATGAGTTTGAAACAGTATCAGGTGTCGACGGCGTGTTGTCGGTTGTGTCCAGTCGGAGCCGGCATTCATACATCTGCTCGTAGTACGGCAAGGCAATATCTACGAGTTCCCTGATCTTCTTGGGCAAGCAATTGATGTCGATGTCAGTCCTTGAGGATTTGACAAGCTCAGATGTGCTGAAGGCACGGTCATATTGCCCCATCACTTTATTAACAAACATGAGTCTCTTAGAGTAGCTCCATTCCTTCAGGTCGTATTTGACCTTTCGCCATGTGGTCATAGGTTCTTGATAGGGCACGCCGGTGGCCTTGCAGTACAACTTCAATACTTCTTCCGGATTCTCCACCAAGTCATCAGCATCGATCACGATAGGTTTCTGTCCCAGTTTATGGATGGTGTACTGCATCAGATCGTACATCTCCTTGTAGACCAGACCCTCGGGTAGGATATCCTCCCGCAGGTCCAGCTTCAGGAGTTTGTTGGGAAACTTCTCCAGGAAGGTCTGAAAAGAGAGGAATACCTTCGCAGGATGTCGGATTAGGAAAGTATGCTTGTAGCCATCGGGGATCATGTCAAACTTCCCGGCAACCGAGTAAGCCAGCTCTTTACAAAACACTAAATCCTTGCCAGTCTTCTCTGCCTCGAGACGTTTCTTGACTTTCTTGTAGGACAGTTTCGGCTCATACACCACAGGCTCGAAGAGCCTCGGGATCTTGATCTGTCGGTTCGGCCCTAGATGACAGGCAGCCGTGTAGAGCTCGTGTGTAACATCAACCTTCATCGTGTCGCTGTTAAGGCAGCTTATGCAACGCTCGAAGGCTGTGGAAAGTGATCGAGGAGGTGCCCAAAGCATTATCCGTATCTGGCCTTTACTTGCCGACGCCATCTTTGTTCGACTGTGAGATCAGTTCCTGCTGAAGAGGCCTACACCTACAGCGTACAAAGACACCAAAGAGATAGAAAGGATAATCATTATCGAAATAAACGAATCTCAAATGTTTCAATGATGATTTCTTTACTGAGTAACAATTGTTTGAAAACGTTATAGGCCTACTTGTAAAACTTAGCTTGCTACGATGAGAAAATATTAATAATATTTTCACTGAAAAGATGAGGTCCACACAATTCATATAATTATTCCACTATCAGCCAAATAATTATTCTACCATCAGCCAATGATAAGAGCCTCATTTTCTGTTGGTAATCTGCAGGCTTCAGTTGATGGTTCGTTATTGTATTTGTTAATCTACTTATAGTTTGCTTGTATGATTTATTACTAATATACTCCTTTGAAGTCCACTTTGCATGCATTATATGTTACTATGTCTGGCAAAGTTGTGAGTTTTCACGAAAACTTCTGTTCGAAAGTATGCACAAAATAGTTGAAAGGTCTCGTATTTAGGCATGCTGTACTGCTGTGAGTTGGTAGGCGCTGATCGCAATAGCCTGGTATCATTATTGTATACCATCCTACTAGCATGAATTGGAAAGAGAAAAACAAGTGATTGAATACAAAGTATACTCGTATCAAACTAAATTTTCCACAAAGCCTCGTTAAAATGACAAACCAATTTGGAGTGCTATTAGTTTTATTACAGCTCTCTAAATATTTATGTAATATTGCTTCGAATGTTTCATTAGATTTCAACTTTTTGAGAATGCATTAATGCACGGCCATGAAAATTATCTGCATCAGCGGTGGCGTCAGGATCCAAACCATTGGGGATGACTGTAAAATGAGGGGTCGGGTGCATCGGTCCTATTCTACGAATAAAATGCGAATAAACAAGGTTTTCCATTGAGGGAACGTGTGGATATCCTCGTAATGTTTTCCTCTAACCTTTTTGCTTGCTATGTCTCTCTCTGTCTGTCTCTGTCTGTCTCTCTCTCTCTCTCTTTCTCTGTCTCTCTCTCTCTGTCTGTCTCTCTCTCTCTCTCTCTATCTCCGTACCTCCCACTTCCCCCTTCTCTCTCTCTCTCTCTCTCTCCCTCTCTCTGTTTCTCTCCTTCCCCTCTCTTCACCGTAGACCACTTGTGCCCCCTTAGCTCCCCAGTGTACCAGTAACTTTATGTAGAACACAACTATACAGACATTATGCATTGCAGCTGATATTCCAAGGCACCTCTTTGTAAGCCAGAGTCCTTTTTTATGAAAAACACTGGAAAGCAACAGGTTGTCGGAAATTACATTTCCACGAATTGCTTTGTGCTACATTAATTAGTGGTACACCGACTCATTTTGTATGTGGTCCTGAATAATATATTTAAAAAAGACATTCTCAAAACAAAAAATAAAACTTACTCCAAATAAATTTGACATATTTTAAAATTTGCAGTGTCAAACCTTCAGTCTCATAATTATGAGCTCCCTTTTTGTATACTAATCATTAACAATCAAAAGTATCAACCCCCCCCCCTTTTTAATAAATGTTTTATATTGTTTTATATTGAAGAATAATAGCTAACCCACACATCGACTCATTTTCTTCCATAAGACATTCCAGCCAGTTTCCTCCTTGACAAACAGGTTGGCTGCTACCTGTTATCATGATAATAATAATAATAATAATAATAATAATAATAATAACGGTTTTTTAATCATGGCACCTCAAGAGAAATAACAACAATAATCATAATTTTCGTCTGGCGAAAATCACATTATGCGCTTCCAATAGTGTGTTGGTATATTGCATTCATATCATGAAAGATATTTATTACAACAACAAAAAATTGGGCAAACCCCGAATAAGTTTTCTGATCTGGATCCCCCAAAAACAACTTGATGATATGTTGCTGCTGTTGTTGTTGTTGTTTACTTGCCCTTGTGTTTTATTTGTATTGGTAATGTACAACGAACAGACAGCGCTCAGTAATACCTTGAAACCATATATTGGACTTGTTAATGTGACCTCGACTACGTCATCGATTTCGATTTGAATCACGTGACCAGTTGGAGAATAGACATTTTTATGCCTCCGTTACGAAGTAGCCGGAGGCATTATGTTTTCGGGTTGTCCGTCCGTCCGTCCGTACGTCCGTACGTCCGTACGTCCGTCCCGTTCTCGTGATCGCGTTATCTGAAGAACCGATTGACGGAATCCTGCCAAACTTTGGTCATGTATGTATCTTGCAGAGCCGATGAACTGAGTAGATTTGGGGGTCACGAGGTCAAAGGTCAAAGGTCACAGGGCTCATTATGTATGCAAAAACAGCTCGTGATCGCGTTATCTGAAGAACCGATTGATGGATTCCTGCCAAACTTTGGTCATGTATGTATCTTGCAGAGCCGATGAACTGATTAGATTTTGGGGTCACGAGGTCAAAGGTCAAAGGTCACAGGGCTCATTATGTATGCAAAAACAGCTTGTGATCGCGTTATCTCAAGAACCGATTGATGGATTCCTGCCAAACTTAGGTCATGTATGTTACTTGCAGAGCCGATGAACTGATTAGATTTTGGGGTCATGAGGTCAAGGTCAAAGGTCATGCGGCTCATTATGTATGCAAAAATAGCTTGTGATCGCATTATCATTAGAACAGATTGATGGATTCCTGCCAAACTTAGATCATGTATGTATCTTGCAGAGCCAATGAACTGAGTAGATTCTTGGGTCATGAGGTCAAAGGTCAAAGGTCATGGGCTCATTATGTATGCAAAAATAGCTTGTGAACGCATTCTCATTAGAACTGACAGATGGATTACTATTTAACTTGGGACATCTTGCGGAGCCAATGAACTGAGTAGATGTTAGGGTCATGAGGTCAAAGATCAAAGGGTCATATATGTATATGAGAAATTGCTTGTAATCACGATATTCTGAGAACCTGTTAATGGATTACAATTGAACTTGAATTTGAAAAATTTCTTCTGTTTTGGTTTGTAAATTGCTCTATGACGGAGGCATCATTTCGACTGCGCGCAGTCGAAGTTCCATCTAGTTACCTATGTATCTCAATTTATGCGTGTTTCTTCCATATATTTAATTAGATTTAATTGAAATTTACATCAGTTTGCTTCTCTGATTGTTCTGCTTTCTTTTTAGAGTAGTTGTCTATTTGGGTTGGATTTCCCTTTTTCTACTAGCCATTTCATTCGCCTGCTATAGATGACTGATCACTGATGGCATCTTTATTGGATGAAGAGTAGTAAACATGTCTGTTAAAGGACTACACTCAGCATTTCATTTATTCAACGACCCCCCCCCCCACCCCCTCTCCCTTCTCTCTCTCTCTTTCTCCCCCTCTCTCTCTCTCTCTGTCTCTCTCTTTATTTCTTCCCTACTCCCTCTCTCTCTCTCTCTCTCTGACAGTTATATATATCGCTCTCTTTTTCTCTCAATTTACATGACATTGTATTCGAACTTACTTAGGATAATTATGTTCATGTATTAGCCTTGTGCACATTTAATTTTGATCTCCTAAAGCTAGCGCTCAATCAGTCATATTAGTTTTTAGCGTTATTTGATAATGTTTGTGTTCTGTTCTTCATATTCATTCTCCCTGTTTCTCTATCATTTCATACCCCCCCCCCCCCACACACACACACTTTTTTTCTAATCATTTGCCTTTGTGTATCTTTTTTCCCCTCTCTTCATCTACCTGCACTGCACCCGAGTGAGTCTGTCTACCTTTCCCATTCCTCTTAGATTGCGTTTTTGCTATGAAATTCTTGCTTGCCAAATACTTAGGCTGACGGCTTCATCAGTGAACCCCTTTCTGCGAGTATAACAATACATTAGCCTTGGTGACTCTTTTGGCTAGGGCATTGATTGAATTATTACATTCATTATTTTAGAATGATATGAGTGTAACGGAAGATCTATGAAAAATCGATATGGGCATAGAAAACTCTCCCATTCCAATATTACTCGAATTGATCTAGATTTTTCTGATTCCATTTCGAATTGTATGCCATTTGATATATTTGTCAATGCCATGCAGATGTTGACGTCATAAAATCTCAAATTGACATTTTTCCTCACATGGCTCAAAGAAAGGCAAAACGCACAATACTCATGTCGGTGAGCGGGGGAAAGAGGGTCTCTGCTCTCTATCAGGAAAAAAGAATCAGCGTTGCCCGTCGTATTCGCATTCGGTATGTGTATTCGAAAAGAGACAGGATGCAACCAATAGATTGAACTTCCACAAAATACGAATTGGCGGGGTTATGAAACAATAAAAGCTTCATATATAAAATACAACATGATTTTGATGATGTGAAAAAATAGTCACTTAGAAAACTGGAAGTAATGATATGGCTTATTTCTCACGGAGCCATTAATTGCACGAAATAACGAGAGAAAAAAAAACGTTCACTCCTTTGCTAACGCCGGTAAAGAGCCAGGGTTAACAAAAAAAAGAAACACTTTAGTGATAATGAAAAATATAATCCCATAACTTCCACTGGCCGGTGACTCGAATAACGAAATATCTTACCTCGTTTCGATGAATGTTGGTGAAAATTCCGTTAATATAAAATCACTTTATTCCAGAACATTGATATCAGGTATGTATATATATAGGATAGACGAAACAAATGTCGTTCTTCTTGACTGGCGTGTATGTGAATGAGACCAGTGCGATCAGCTGAGCGAGCGAGCAAACCTGTACCAAGTAGGCGTTGCCTAGATGTGTGTACACTAGACGCATTTGCATTACTAACGTGATCGTTATTTCGTAGAGCTTTATTGTGATTGGTCCAACAAGTCGGAGGAAAACTAGCGGTTGGTTTCTCGAAACCGTCATAAGTCTAAGATCGAGGACAACCCGTATATAACCAAAGAGATACCAGCTAACTTCCTCCTTGATATAACACGCGTCTCAAAGGGATGCCCAAGAAGTTTCGATGAACGGCTACTTTGCAGTGCAACGCGAAAAGTTCGTAGACCTTTGATTGATTCCATGGTAGTGATACCCCCCCCCCCCCCCACCTCCTTGCCCTTGAAAGAACTGGCTGGCTGCGTGCATGAATGCCTTGTCGTAATGTAATAACATTGAATGCATTTCGAAGAAACATCTATACATGTTATTAAAACCGATCTATTCGTAGTATTAACATAGGCCCTTTTTGTAAAGTAATCAAATTAAATGCACAAATCTTTGTTGAGTGCCAGGTTATCTCACTGTAGGTGAAACTCGACCAGCGACAATCAGAAAACAATTCAAAATTAATTTGAAAAAATATGATAAATGTGAAAAATTACAAAAAAGTAGCTATAGAGAGGGATCGAGAGAGAGAGAGAGAGAGAGAGAGAGAGAGAGAGAGTTGGGTAGAAAGGTGAAGGCAAGATGAAAAGAAAAGATAAAGAGAAAAGGAGAGATCGAGGTGGGGCGAGGGTTTTAGATTGAGTTGAGCCTGTCAAGAGTAAAAATAACAGGAAAAGAGCTCACAATAGAACATGAAAGTAATGCAAGCCACTAAAGGTCAGCTAAGGTCAAGCTCAAACACGAGCTACACAGCTGGCCAAAACAGAGGTCTAACTCCACCAAGAGGAGCTCAAACTAAACCAGTTCTACACCCTGGTCCCGTGTGGGGGTGGAAGTTGTGGAACCAGTAACGAACGATGAAATGGTAACTGAAAACGGTAATATATATATATATATATATTTTGGAACACTCATAAAGTAACATAGTTATGTTTGACTTTCTTACAAGGTGGATCTATCATTTTTCTAAACGGTAAATTATGATAATAAGCGCCTATACCTAGCCGACTAATATCTGCCGACTATAGATATAGACCCCCCCCCCCCCCTCCAGAAAAATAACAATAGTAATAATAACAAAAATATATATTAATTAATACATGAATGAATTAATAAATAAAATAAATACTAAAAAGCATAAGATCCCCCTAAATATAGTGTGTATTTACTACTTTGAACTGCTGGAACGATTATGTTTCTCAACAGAACAGAGAGATAAATAGATACATACGTATTGATAAATGCAAATTAGGCTTGTCTGTGGTTTCCCCGATACTGTAACAAACACAAATTGAACTTACCAATTTTTAAGAGATCAGATGCAACTACAGAAAATCAGAAAAATATAATATATAGCTTGTTCTTGTTGCAACTGCGGATATTTTCACTGTTATCTATCTATACGTGTTGGCGTGCAGTTGTGAGCGTGCAAGGTCTGAAGATATGAGTCATTACAAAAATCGATTTAAATTGTTTCGCAATTCATTGATTCGATCAGGTGATATTTACACTAATTGTGATTATTGTATTCCTATTCCTATTCTGATGATTACTCATGCAGCCATTGGTGGAATTAGTGGGGGTTTTCTCTTCTGAGAATTGAGCATTAATAAAGAGACACACCAAATAAAAACAAATCTGGTGACCCTTGTCTTCTCTTCCTCATCCTTCTTCTTCTTCTTCTTCTTCTTCTTCTTCTTCTTCTTCTTCTTCTTCCTCCTCGACTATCTTGAGAATGTTACCGAGATCAAATATTTAGGCGTAACCCTTGATCAAAGTCTAAGTTGGACACCACACATATTGAATGTGACTAATAAGATTAATCGGGCAATTGCATGCACTAGAAGGATTAAGAGTTATTTGAACCAAAGCCTACTGAAACATCTTTATTACTCCCTCATTCTTCCACATATAGATTACTGTTCAGTTGTTTGGGGCAAGTGCAAAAAGAAAGATTTACTCAAATTACAGAGGACGCAGAACAGATATGCAAGATTAGTCCTTAATGCAGACTATCTAACCCCAAAAGACATCCTTTTAAGCACTCTTCAATGGCAAAGTGTTGAAAATAGAATCAACTACCACTACTGCATTTTTCGTCTACAAAATACTCAATAATCTAGCCCCTTATTATTTAGAACCTTTTGCTTGTAAACGTCCAGTTTACTATGTTACTCGTCATTCTACCTTGAATCCCTTATTTATCCCAAAACCCAAGACTGGATTTAAAAAACGATCTTTTTCTTTCATCGCTCCAAGCATTTATAACAATCTACCAATTCATATTCGCACGGCAACTTCACTCCAAATGTTCAAAAAACAAATTAAATCACTCCCTCCACTTTAATGCATGCACTGGTACCTAATGTTATATTATGACTTATTACAGTTAGTTTTGTTTGTTTTGTTTGTTTGTAGTTGTGTAGTCTGTAGTAGTTTTATTTCTTTTCTTACCTTTTACCATTTTGATTTTATGTCTGTTATTTATTTATGGCATGTGTATTTGTATTTGTATTTTGTATTGTATCAATAATATCTTAATGTTTAATAGTTCAGGCCTTATGTTAATTTTGATCTAGTTTTTAAGTTGTTTTAGTTCTCTTATGGTATGTTGTTTATATAATGTCTTTGTTTTCTACAATGTATTCCATTTTTTTGTAAATCTTTGTATGTACAGGGCTCTTTTGTAAAGCAGGCCTCTGGCACTGAAAAGACTACCCTGTTTTTAAATAAAACTGAATAAATAAATAAATACTTATTTTTCTTCATTTCTTATCCCCTCCACATTTTAAGTTGTGGGTTAGGGTGAGAAAGTTCATTCATTACATCCTCCTCCTTACAAATTCCTTATTCGACCCCACCCCCCCCCCCCCAAATAAAAGGGAATTGTTGAGATTGGCATGCTACGTATTGAGTATAACTGGTCATTCGTGAACAGGTGAATGAAATAACTCGTAACGGGTCACTTGAAAAGACCTAGTTTATTAAATTTGATTTATTACGAAAATAGCCAATTGCAGGGCTTTTCAAAGTCTGGACCACCCGTAGGGGGGAGGGTGGCTCTTCTTCTTCTTCTTTATCTCCTTTCCTCCCCCCCCCCCATTTTTTAACCATAAGAGAGCCAATGACTGAATTGACTCGGTCCCTATCTTTTGATACCAAATTTATAAAATTTAGACCAAAAGGCTGCGCGCGGCCAAAATGAACATTTCCCCATGTACTTCACACAATGCAGAATAATCTCTTCCCGTTTTGTAACTATTCAAAAACCATTTGAGACCTAGCTATGAAACTTCATGGACTTATTCTGGATGAGATACTCTACCAAAATTCCAAGGTATGGCTGAGATTCCGCCCGCTAACATTATGGAGGCGAAATTGCATGGCAGTAAAAGAAGACCAAGTGAAGAAGCTGGAAGTTGCATGGATGAGAATGTGTTTGAGAGGTGTGGGAGGAGAGAGGAGGCGAAATGATGAGGTACGGAAGGAAGTAAGGGTGACAGTGCGGATTAAGAAGGAAGATTAGATAGAGAGAGCAGACTGAGATGGTATGGACATGAACATGAACTGATCAGATGGGCAGCATGCAGCAGAGAGAAAGGAAGACCCAGACCAGGACTCAGGAAGAGGTGGATAGATTGTATCGAGGAAGACGGACAGGATGAGATAGAGAGCGGTAAGGAGGAGACCCGACTCCGGGATGATAATGATGATGACAAAATAATATGTGCGAAGCGAATGAGTTCGTACATAGGTGAACAAGTAGAACCATCGACCAACTAACCCAGCGTTTTGCCGATGACTAATCCACCTAGAGAATTGATCGCTGCCTTTAAACATAACAAAAGGAGCACTCCTTTCAGCGTGTTCGGTAAAATATTTGCCTTTACCATTCATTTTTTTCCAGCTGATTGAACATGAGCATTCTTGTCTCCATTGTACTACGAACAAACAAAGAGTTATTTTGAGGCTCAGCATTATATAGGGCCATAGGGGAAACTATTTTATGATATGGTTGTGACAATATGGTTTATTCTTGATCGATAAAGTTGGTTATCATCTCAGAACCTTCCTGATCAATCTAAAGAGTCATAGGGATTGGTCAATAAAGTTCTGAGAAACTATCAACTATAACTATAAATTTTGTTTTAAAAATCATTTCATGAAAAGGGGTAAAATAAAAAATATGCCAACTTCATTGGCTACATTGTAGTACAACCTTTATATTGTGTTTCCCTCTCCTTTTCTTCATGGTTACAGGAATATTTTTCTTCCGTGTGAACTTCCCCTCCAGCTCACCCCGCCATCGATATTGCTGTATTACGTATAATCCAAAACATAAACACACCTTATTTCTCATGGGGGTGTTTCACAAAGATCCTAAGTTGGACTTATCTCAGTAAGTCGGACTTAACAATTATGGAAAGCCGTTAGCATCTTTGAAAATATTTTGAAAAAGTTATTTTAAAAGGCATAAAATGTTGATTCAAATCATTTACATTATCTATTATCAAGGAGATTTCATGTTCTTGAATTTATGAAAGTCTAAAACAATTGATTTTTGATTTTGAATATATTTTATTTTAAGGCTACAAATAGCTCTCCATAACTTTTTAAGTCCAACTTAGAGTTAAGTTTGACTTAGGATCTTTGTGAAACACCCCCTGCTCTCAGCGGTACAAGAGACGCAGTCAACGGTGAATTGCCCTTTGGTCTACCACCAGTACTATATTCACACCGACGCCCGTCTACAAACCAGGCAACATGCTCTAATAATCATTTCGTCTACTTATCATTTGGCCTAATTTCCATTTGGTCTAATATCCAATAAGTCTACTACCCATTTGGTCTGTTTTTCATCTGTTAGTCTAATTCCCAGTTTGTCTAATGCCCATTTTGTCTATACTGTCCATATTAGGTTTAATAATCAATACTAATTTGATGGTTATTATTATTTATGACTAAATGATTAATATGGTGGATAGTAGGCCTAGATGGATGTAGATAGTAGGACCTAGTAGGCCTAGATGGGCTGGATGTAGACCAAATGGGTAGTAGGCCTAGATGGGCTGGATGTAGACCAAATGGGTAGTAGACCTAGATGGGCTGGATGTAGACCAAATGGGTAGTAGGCCTAGATGGGCTGGATGTAGACCAAATGGGTAGTAGACCTAGATGGGCTGGATGTAGACCA